ACGTGCAGAGTTGGATTTAAAAAATCATAACAACGATGTTTATTGAAAATAAAAAATTATTTATTGTGCATTCATTCTTAATTAAATTTGCTTTAAAATGTTCTTTATTTCATGGTGATATTTCCTTTCGTTCTTGAGATACGATTTTTAAAAATTTATATTTCATATTTATAATATTCAAATTCTGGCTCTGTAAGTTGTAAAGTTCTTCCAAGATAGAGTTGCTAAGCTGTAAATTGATTATTTAAAGTTTATTGGATAATAAATATTTATCTCATTTCTATTTATTTATTTTCAATCAACCATGACAACTAAATTAAAATCACTTTTCAGCGTAAAGTAACATTATAGGTATTTTTAAATGTATTTCAGAAGAAGAATCACTTTTGAATTCCTTAATAATTCCCTCTGCAACCTCACTTACGTAATCATCTGTTAAATTTGTTGGTAAATGATCATAACATGCTTCAAAATGTTTAACGAAAGCCTTTAAAAGTTCTTCATTAGGATAATTTTACATTTACCTCATCGTAATTTATAGCAATATTTTTATAACCAACTTCTCTTAAGATAGATTTTAACAATTTTTCAATGTTAATATTTGTGAAAAAAGGCCTATCCCAAACCGTTGTTTGGTATTTCCTAAATTTTTCGCGTTGATTTACCATTAAGAATATTTCCACAAACGCATTTTTAGTCATTACTGTGAAAAATATTTGTCCAGTCGGTTTCAGCATTTTATAAAAGTTTCTAGCCCAACTTAAAATAAACAGTTACTACTTCCAATATGTTGTGAGTACTCAACAAAACGTACTTACTAAGTTGTTTGAACCCAATGTAAACAGTACATAGAATAGATTAAATCGAAGTTTTCAGTAAATTTTTCGGGAAAATTCTCCAACGATAAATCCATCAACTCAAACTCACAATTTTTTTGATCATTATACTTTTCTTTTGCTTTTAAAATCATTTGTTCTGAAAAATCAACTCCGAGGATTTTATAATTCTCCACATTTTTCATCACAAATTCTTGAAAAATGTTAACCGTTGATGACCCTTCACCACAACCAGCATCCAAAATTTTCATACTTTCAACACGATTCTTTGATTTATTTGGCCAATTTATGAGACGTCCATGATCAGATAAAAGCTTTTTTGTAGTTACAACAACTGGTGAATGAAGTTTCTCGTAAAAATTTGCGTTGAACATTTTTTATGTATTTCTTCCCGATTTTTAATACGAAAAATGACCCTTTTTTATGTATGTTATCTCTATATATTGACATAATGAATTTATTTTTATCATAATCTTTAAATACTACACTCCAAGATTATTTTTATGATTGGAATAAATCTTTTAAAATATTACGATGCAATTCAAACTGTAACAATAACATTCAAACTTTAAATATTTCCATTAAAATAAAAATAAACATATTTAATTAAAAGTCATGCCATCGCGGAATATCCAGTTATAGAATTTTCTTCACAAAAGCAAATTTATTCTAAGTTCTAACAGATTTAATAATAGATTTTATGAAAATAATTGGAAGACTATTACATCTGAATGTGTTTGCCTATACCTATGCCACAAATCTTCTTCTTCTCTGGCCCTACAACCCTGGCCTGCCTCACAATATCCTTCCAGTCTTTCCTGTCTCTCTACAACATGGCTCCTCCATTCTCATCACATGACAAACCCATCTCAATTGATTTTGATAACATAACCACGTCGTTGTCGTTGTATGCCTGATATAATTTGAAGTTATATCGTCTTCTAGTCCGTTTTCGCTTACTCCGTCAAAGATGGTGCGTAGCACCCTAAGTACGTCAGATAAGATGAAATACCATCTTGTTGTTTCGAATCTTCCTCTTGACGTTGTTTCAACTGTACACGATGATATTTATCTCTAATACTTCTGAACTAGATAAAAATATTCTAATTACTCATCTATCAAGCAGTGAAGAGAAGCGACTCGATGCATTACTTTCTGGTACCGCTATGGGTGACCAAGAACCTCCCGATCTTTATAGAGGAATGTCAACAATTCTTGGAAGCATTCAGATGGCCAGTCAAGATCTTCTTTTAAAATTATGGAAAAAACCACTTCCACTTAGCATAAATATTGCATAAATGTTGACTGCATCTGGAAAAGAGGATATTTAGTTAGTGCTGCTGTCATCTTCCAAAGTGATTGGTCCCTTTTATTTTTTTGCACCACTTTTCTTAGTTTATTTCGTTAATGTTTTTGTGAATTTCCGTAGTGATTCTATTAAGTTTATTCTTGGTGTTTGGGTCTCTTGTTCTTACGTATTCTTTTATGAGTTTTTTCTTTTCCGCAAATTTCTGTTTTAATTCAGGTGAGAGTTGAGTTTTGCTTGGATTTATTGCCCTGGTTGTTGTTGATGCTATTAGGGCATCTGCTATTCCTTTATCAAGGCTTGTTATTGCTGTTTCTAAGCTTAGTGTTGAATTGATCTGCGTCTTCTTGACTTTTATTGTTTCTTTAAACTTCTTCCAGTCAGTGGTTTTGATTAGTTGTTTTTGAATTTCTGGTTGGATTTCTACTTCCATTACTACTGGGTAGTGGTCTGAGGAGAGCTCATTTATTGTCTTGATTGTTATTCTTTTATTTAAGTTTTTAATGATGGCTATATCGAGGACATCAACCGAACTGTTTGCTGTGTGAATATGAGTCATATGGACAATGACCAGTAGGTCTACTTCCTCAGCAAGGTTTTTTAAGTTGCAGTCCGGGTGCTTGGAGTTCAGATCACCAGCTATGATTGTCGCTTTGTTTGGGCAAAGTATACTTTTAAATTCTTCTTCTACTATTTTTTCTGATGGTGCTAGGTACGCTACAAATATGTTAATATCTCCTTTCTTGGTATTAACTTTGATGCCGTTTGCGTTGAGGTGTGTGATGTTCGGGATCGGGACTTCTTCGTGTTTGATTTGATTTGACACGATGTCTGCTGTGCCTCTTCCTTTTCTTCAGTCGGGTCGATCCCTTCGATAGATTTTGTAGTTTTGTATGTTGAATCGGTTGCAAGGCTTCAGTGATGTCTCGGAGACTAGTAATACATCAATTTTGTGTTCTTCCAGGAAGTTCCAGAATGCAATTTTTAAAAATTTTGTATATTTGTTGTCTCTCATTAATGGTTGAATATTTTAATTATTTTCTTTGTCTTTACGAGGAATATTTTCATTTGTTTTTCTGAAGGATTTGTGAAGGCAAATTCAGCGTACATTTCGCCCAGTGTTCTTTTAAGTTCGTCTATGTTATTGTTTGTGTTGTTGTCGTTGTGTTTTTTGTCATCGTTTGTTTCAGTTTCTTTTCGGTTCGTATTTTCATCATTTTTTTCGTTATGGAGCACTTCCTTTCTACGGGCCTCCTCTCTCTTGTTCCAGCAGTTGTTCTCCGGCTTGTGCGTGTTGACATTTTTTTTTTAAGTTTGGGTTGTTCGGGTTTTTTGCACATCGTTTTGGTGCAGTCCTTCGTCATATGGTTTTGACCACACTTCATGCACTTGAATTCGCCGTTGCTGTTTTTCTGTGTGTGTCCAAAGAGTTGACACCGATAGCACTGTATGATCTCTGTTTTTGTTCGTAACGATTCTACATTGCAATTTCGCTTACCTTAGTGATGTTATAGATAGAGCGGTACTCTTTGTTTATTTTGACAAGAATTATTGGCGCTGGTTTGCCCTGTTTGCCTTTCATGCGGGTAACTTTTGTTATTGGGTATCCTTGTGCCATTAGGTATTTTTCTGCTTCCTGTAGGGTCGCCTCGCGCATGACTCCCCTAATTACTATCTTCAGCTTTTTTTTCTGACCTTAAGTCGTATGTGTAGAACTGAATTTCCTCATCTTCCAAATCATCTTCGGTTGTGGGTTCTATGTTTATTCCCTGTACGACCAGTTTTGCTTTTACGTAGTTTAATTTCTTTTTATTCATGAGGTGGCTCACGTGAGTCTCGATTTATTTATTGCGACGGCTTTTGCCAATTTTTTTTCTGTTTAATGTGTTGGTTCTAGTTTATATTTTCTTCTCTTTGTTCGTCTTCTGCCTCTTCCTCGTCATGTCCTTCTTCTTCCATGTTTTCTTCTTCGTGGTTGCCCAGTTAGGCATATCTGTTGCTTGTTTCGATTTCTAGAGCTTCTTGTTGTATTTTTCGTTTTTTCTTGCTTATCGCTGGGCTGAACCCCCATCTTCGTTTTTGATTTTTCTTCTCTCTTGAAGTAACATCACGATGATCCTTAAAAGGTCCTCCAAGGTTTTATTGTCAAGCTCTTGGATATCGTCGATGTTCATTTACTGACGCCGACTCGACGACGACTTGATTGATGTCGATGAATACCTGCCATTTCAGCAAGTGTTCTCTTTAAGAGTATCCAGGCGGTATCGGCTTCCATAGGTCCAATTTCCTCCTCGCTTGCCCGATTTATTCGCTGCTCAACCCAGGCTATGAAATCTTCAAATGCACGCCACAATTAATCTATATTCAAAATTTGTGCTGATATTCAGCACATACTCTACAACGAAACACAGCTTTTATACTCATTTAATCAAGCATGTGACAAGGTAAACATGAAGATCGCGAGCGATAAAACGGAAACCATGTCCAAAATCACCCTTTAGATGCAAAGTTGTAGTGCAAAAGTTATATAATTAAGCAGGTGTTTTAATTCGACTATCACGGAATACAAATCAATGCATCATAAAGGACAGTATCAAAAGGCAACAAAAATATCAGTTAACCACTTCAGTTAGAAAACCAAAACTACACATTCACTCAAATTCTTAATTCTTTTGCAAAATGTATTAAATTACCATAATATGATTTCACTACTATTTTCCAATCGAATTTGTTATCTTCATTCTTATTATTAACCCATAAAAAATGTTTCTTTTAATTTGTTATCAAGGCTATGATTCAAGTTAACCTGGTGGGGAAACTCTTTCTGTTGAAATAAAAATATTCAATCGCATTAAGTGAGAAGACGTGTAAGTAAGGCTCTTTATATCAATAAGTATTTATTTATAATTAATTTAACGAAAATAGATTAAGTTTGATAATTTCGCGGTGAAATTTGAATTGGATGAGTGAACTTAGGTGCAGATTGTTATCTTGTAAAATTAAAAGATAAAGTTAGGTTATGTTTACTTTCCTCTAAGTCTTAATTGTGGTAAATTCAATTAAAAATAGCTCCCCACAGGCGATACGAATTTATGGAGTCATTAACGGGGTTTGATATGCGGTTTAGACGAAAGTTTATGTTCCTTGTATGTTTTTCGGTGCTTTTTTCGTTCTTCGCTATTTGGAAGTTACACGAAATCCATATAGGTAGACTTGGAAGAAACACTCTCCAATTTAAGCAGGAATTAAATTTAAATTATTCTTCCGTAGACTTAAAAGATATACAATGTAACAAAATTGTCGAACAAAATCGCGATTTACTCGAAACATCCCATAAAGAACTTACATTAGTCGAGCGATTATACAAGGAAAATATCAACAAAAGTCTTCCAACTATTTATGCAATCACACCTACATATTATCGGTATGTTCAAAAAGCTGAGCTTACACGTTTATCTCAAACTTTACGATTAGTAAGTAATTTACATTGGATTATTGTTGAGGATAGTGAGGTTAAAACCGATCTTGTTACGAATTTATTAAACGAATCCCATTTAGTTTTTACTCATCTTGCTGCAAAAACACCACCATTTGAAAAATTAAAAGCAAAAGTAGGTATTTATAAAAATGTTTATGAGGAATTACTAGAATTAAGAATGTTTTTTTTTTAGGATCCAAGATGGAAAAGGCATCGAGGTATTGAACAGAGAAATGCTGGATTAAATTGGTTAAGAGAAAATCTTGTTTTGAAAGGAGATAAAGGTATTGTTTATTTCATGGATGATGATAACACTTATAGTGTTAAACTTTTTGAGGAGGTAACAATATAAAATTTAAAAAATGGGATTTTTTTATATTCTTATTAATAACTTTTTTTGTAGATGCGAAAAATTAAAAAAGTAGGTATTTGGCCGGTTGGATTAGTTGGTGGGTTCAATGCGGAAGCACCAATAGTTGATAGATTAACTGGAAAAGTAACAGGTTATCAAAGTGGATGGAAACCCAATAGAACATTTGCTATTGATATGGCTGGTTTTGGGATTAGTTTAGATTTAATTTTATCTAATCCCAATGCGGAATTTTCATATAAAATGGCTAAGGGTTGCCAGGAAAGTGAATTTTTAAGTTTTTTCATAACCAAAGAAGATTTAGAACCTCTTGCTGATAATTGCACGAAGGTTTATGTTTGGCACACTCGAACCGAAACCCCTAAAATAGCTGCTAACATTCCTGGCCTTGAAGTTTAAAATCAAATTACTTTTTATCCTCTCTATTGTGATTAACTTATTTCATTATGATTTTTACCATACTCAAAAGAATAATGGATCAAAATAATTTAATATTTACAATTTTTAGTTTTGTGATATATTAATTAAGTTATACTTGTCTTTTTTTAATTAGAGAATTTAATTATTGCATTTTAATTTTTTATTATTACTCATCATTCAAGTACCTGCACAATATAAATAATTGAAATCTTTTAAAGAAAGTAACACAAAAACCAGTTGTGATGTACAACGTATACATTATCTTGAATCTAATAATTCAAATAATTAGTGATTTAAAGCTAAACATAGGTACTTGTTGCAAAAATAATAACAATGATAATAAAATGTTTCATTAACGAAAAAAATAATGTTCTAAATTGTAATATTCGTAAATATTAAGTAATAATGTAGGATTTTAGTCATTAAGATATCAAGTTAGATTGTAAGTACTTATTTGTACAGATTTTAATTATTTCTTTGTTATGATTAGATACGATTATTAAGGTATTTATTAAATTGAATGAACCAGTTTTTCTTGTTTGTTCTAATTTATTTTAAATTAAATTTAATTAATGTATATGTTATAGGCAAATAAGTACTTGAGCAAAATAATTCTTTCCTTCTATATTCATTATTCATTAGATACAATTATCTAAAGAATAACAATGTAGAATATTAGTTAGAGGCATGTATAGACAATGACTTTACAATCAAACAAGCCATAGAGAAGAGGTTAGCACTTACAACAGATTTAACAAAAGTACATGACAGTTACACTACAATATACTAGATATTATTATTATCTAAATTGATGCGAAGGATTTTAAGGGGTGATTTTTCAACGAAAATGAAGGGGGGTTTTTCATATAACTTTTTGGTCAAAACCCCTCCTTCTCCAAGTTATAGCCCTCTAAAGTTAAGGGTAAAAATCTGCAACTTTCTTATCTCTTGACATTTTACAACTAACAAATTGTTACTTTGATCACAAAAAATAAAATAATGCTGAGATCAATTTGACATAACTTCATTTCTTTGACTAATAATAACCAATCTCTGAATTAATTTACCTGAGCCTGTGTATTATTTTATTTTTTTGTGATCAAACTAACAATATTAGGAGAAAATGTCAGGAGACAAAAAAGTAGTGTGAACGTATTAAAAAGTTCTAATGCAAAGTATTATGGGGTTGATTTTTTCAGCCTCTTGTGAAAACATATTAGGGTTATAAAAATCGTCAAACAATGTCACCTTATTAGTAATAAAGTAGGTAATAAATCTTTATTTACTAAGGTGATATCTTTTATTTGGTTAAATGTCTTTATTAATTTCAACCCACTGGCCGTCCTCAGAAGACTTCTATAAAGTACAATTCATGTTTTCATGATTTATATTATAATCACATTCAAAATTTCTAGGTATAAACTTACGCCAGATTATAAGAGCGCACTTTAACATATTAAAATTTGGTCAAAAATTAGCAATTATTTAAAACGGAGTAGTTAGTAATAATTATCTGCCAAATTTCATCCTTCCAAATTCCTCCATAGTGGATTTGTTAAAGAAAAACAATTTTTCTCCTAACTTTAGAGGGCTGTAACTTGGAGGAGAAGTGATTTTGGCCAAAAAGTTATGTGAAAGTTTAATTTTTGCTGAAAAATCACCCCTTAAAATATTTCGCATCAATTTAGATACACCCTGTATATAAAACAAGCCCTAGCAAGATGACTAGAAAAGTGTCAAAACTTTCGACATTTTGCGGATTTATATTGACAGAAGACGAAATTGTATAACAGTTGTGTGCTTTCTATAAATCCCAATGAAACGAAATATTTGGTCATAGGAGGAAATGGAAATGACATGTCAATCGAGGGGATGAATATTAAAAACACCACACCCTATAAGTATTTCGTCGATAATGATGAAATGGGCAAATGAGAGCTGCTACCAGACAATTAAGTGGTTTTCTATGGAGCCAAGAAATACCTAAGCGAACTAAAATCCGAATATATAAAACGAATATGGGTTCGAACAATGGACAATGAGTAAAAGAAGCAAATGTAGTTCGAGTGAGGAATATGGATATAGTAAAGAAAATGTTCAACGGATGACGAATGAATGGCCAAAGTAAATGATAAACTGAGAACACAAAAGCGCTGGTCACACTAGGGTGCTTGAGTGGACAGACTGCGCTGCTCGCTGATGGCAGCGAGTGCGAGTGAGTCGCCGCTGCCTGGCTACCAAAATAGAACATGCCTAATTTCACCAGCCGTTGACAAATACTCGCCGGCTGGCGGCGAATTTTATGCTCACACCAAGCCGGTTGGCTGACAGTAGCGGCTTCCAAAATCGCGGCTGGCAAGCNAGACTTGCGTTCACTTTTAGTGAACTGTATTTGGTGCGCAGGTTTGCAATTTATTGTTATATACGACAGGTAGAGGTATTAAGTAAGAAGTGGGATTCCAGGAATCAGTTAGGGATAAGGTCTCCTAACACTTCAACTAATGACTGCTATATAATATGATGCTCAGGATATCTTAATAAAATCGTTTGGTTTTCTATCATAACAATGAGATTTTTAACGAAATATTTTTAAGGAAATAAACTTTCTAAACACCTGTATATTTGTATTCCTGCATTCCTGGTTGCATATTTTCAATATAACATTTTACTGTTATATTATTGAAACTATACATATTAATATATGTATTAAAAGAAAAATTACAGCTCAAAAAACGTAAATTTTAAAGGAATTAACGTTAAAAGTTTCTTAATTTTTCTTGTTTTTATATTTTCCTTTGCAAATTTCATAAACAACTTAAGTAATAATTTTTATAATTATTTAATAATTATTTTAATAATTATCATTAAGTATAATTTCAATCTCGGTTCCATCTGGCGTTATAAGCAAACCATGTGCGGCCCTTTTGTGCGCTTTTAGCGTCGATTCCTGTTTGCATCTTTGCCCACAATACTCACATTTAAACGGCTTAAAAGGTTTATGAACCATATTGTGTTTATAAAGCGAGGAGTACTCTGTAAAACGTTTGTTGCAATCCTAAAAGATGTATTCATGTAATTTTGAGTTATTATTATAAAAAAGAAAAGGAGAAACGTACAGCAACAGGACAAACATATGGTTTTTCACCTGAATGTATCCTCATATGATTTTTATAATTAGTTGCTGAAGCAAAAGCTTTTCCACACTTTTCTTTTTGGCAAACGTATGGTCTCTCGCCTGTATGTGAACGAATATGGACCTTACGAATGTTTGAAGTGGTAAATGATCGATTGCAACCTTCAATTGGACACTTAAAAGGTTTTTCACCTTGAATTAAAATTAATAAAATCTATTTTCCTAGAAAATTAATCTTACCAGTGTGAGTTCTTATATGTTTTTGTAAATCGCCTGATGTTTTAAATTGTTTTGTACATGTTTGACAAGAATAAGGTGTTTCTCCCGTGTGTGTTCTTAAATGAGCTTTTAATGAGTAACCCGTTGCAAATGATTTATCACATCCTTCCACTAAACACACATATGGACGATCTCCTGTATGATTTCTAAAGTGCACCTTTAAAAGATTTAATTAGTAAATAACTATTTTATAAAATAAGCAAATTCACCATTAAATGTTGCAAGCTGCTATAAACCTTGTTACACCCATTATACACACAAGGATATTTCTTTGTCTTTTTCTCAGATTCTTCTTCCTCTTGAACTTCTTTAACACCGTTATTTTCCATTAAACTCATCCATAACTTTTTATCAATTATAGCTCTTATGCCATCTTCAAATCTAATTTCTTGATATTCACCATCATTTAATACTTCCTCAGAATTTTCCTCGGTGTTTACTTCAGGAATGGTCACAGTATTAGCACCTTCTTCAAGAATTTCTTGATTCACTTCTAAATTTTCCTCTAAAAAAATTTTTTAATCAATGAAAACATCTTATTTATAACCAAAAACTAAATTAACCTGTTTCTGTAAAATATAACCCCCCATCTTCTAAAGAAATCACTTTATAACCGGGTAATTCATCAATCCCTCCCGTTTCATCAAAAACATTGCTTGTTGAAGCTTCCCCTTCGGTTTCAGCAATTTCATTGTTATCAATCGTGAAATAGACGATATTTTCATCTTGAGGCGTTTCTTGCACTTCCACCGTATTATTAACGATCGTGTAATATGTATAGACCGTTTCTTCGTCTGCTTCTAAATATTAAAAAATATAATTTGGAAAATGACGTTTAAGTTAAAAGTGAGGTTAGGTATTTTGTATTGATTGCTAAAGAGTAAATATGGCTACTGGAAGGGAAAGGATTGTAAAAAGAAGGGTAAAATGAGGAAATAAGGCGATTTGGGGATTAATTGAAATTAAAATTTTGTAGATAAATGTTACTTTTATGAAATTAACGTGTTAGATGTGAAAAAATTAAAGTAATAATGTTAGGAATCTTGGGAAATTACCCATAATGTCTCCAAGGCCAGTAGACGTTGACGTGAACGTTGCCAACTTTGAAACAATTAAATGTTTTTAAATATTTTTATTTATTTATTAAAACGAAATTATTTATTATTATTAATTTTATTGTTTATATAATTGATTTTATTCCGCAAAATAAGTGTTTTTTTGAATTGTGAACAAAAAAATAAAGAATCAAAAAAATACCCCAATAAACATTATTTAAACATTAAAAATTATTTAAAAAACATTATTTAAGTTGTTGGAGAAAAACAACTCATTTATGGTTAAACCAAAGAAAAATTAATGAGAGTTACTTCCTTTTTACTATCTGAAAGCCCAAATTGGAATTTTATTGCTACCGCTTTGCAATAACCACATTGTTCTAAAACAATCCCTTTAAATTACACGATGACCTGAAAAGGTTTTATTACTGTATTATATTTCTTTCGAAAGTTTACTTATTGCTTTTTTAATTTTTCTTTTTAATATTTCAAAACGTAGATCATAAATTTAAATTCTATAGGTAGTTTTGCTATTAAAGATTTAGTGTTTGTTTTAAAGTTTAATTTTAAATCGTGCAATGATACGTTTTTGAAATGATACGTTTTAAAACTTGACCCTATTCTTCACGCAGATTTGCAACATTGCTATTGAGTAATTCATGCAACAGTTTTCCACGATGCGTTTGCATCACTTGTTTAAGCTTAACTACTACAATATAATTTATGATACCTCGTATAATGTAATCTGAAAACAGAGATTGTTATAAAAAAAGTAATTAATTTTTATTTCAATTTAATGAAAGTAAAATGTATGTAATCAATAATTGAATGGAAACGATTTCTTTATTTTTTTTAAGAGGAAATCTTCGTGACAATGATTAACCCACGGTGTGAGAAAGACGTTCATCACGTGAGCTTTAGAGTCCTTCTTCGCGTGGTGAATAAAGCGCGAATTGCGACCGGCGTTTTGGTGGGAAACCATCGTGTAGCCTCTCTAAATAACAATGTTGGCGGAAATCGTCTTCAGATTGGTGTTGTATCGGTCCGAGAACAAGTTACTTTGAAATGGTAATTTAATAAGTTTAAACTTTAGAAGATACAGAAAAAATATTACAAGAATGGTAAGAAATAATAAATTCAATTTAAATTAATAAATTTTTGATTGATAATTATTTCGATTCGTTTTTAAATTTGTCTTTGAAATAACTATAATAATAATGATATAGTTTTAAATTTAAACAAAACTATTTAAATCTTCATTTCTCCGAGAATTTTAGATGGGGAAATCTATTTAAAAGACACAGAGACAGCATTCACTAAAGTAAGCATAACACAATCGCTCTAATTTTACTTTTACTGGTTGTTTTGTCTTTACGAAATCTTATATAACAGTCGTTTGGTTCACAAGAAGACGACCACGCTCAATTTATTTTGATAGTTGAATCCTTTATGAAATTCTAATTCGTATTTTATGCACAAGACTAATTTTGGCGTTTCAATTTCTTCTTATAAATCATTTCTTTCTAAAACTAATGCTAAACATTTAATTTAATGTTTGAATTTGAGTTTACCCATGGGAAAAAAGTTATAGCAGGAATTTCCAATAAAATTGATTTTGTGAACGTGGGAATTTATTACGTTCACTATAATTGTTAATTAATATTATTTATTGTATACACTTATAGCAAAAATAAATCTTAAATGACCTTAACGTACGGTTTGAATAAGATAGTTCTTGGTTTATGCCTAAATCCTTTAAACCTTGGTATCTTAAATCTTTGCAAATTATATAAAATCGTTCGAAATAATTCGATGTCTTTGGAAATCATTAAAAATGGTATAAAAATACAGACAAAATACGTGGTTTATAAATCAAATAATAATATTTATTTATGCTAAACCAACTGATAAAAATAGATATCTAAGTAAAATATAGAAATACGGAGTCAGAACTTAAAGACAAAACACAGAGACAAATCTAGACAGGTCGCTAGTTGGCTAATCTAACTGTCCCCGACGGATTGGCCAAAAGCTTTTCAATATCAAAATAAGCCTTATCAATTAGGAACTTTTTTAGGCGCCTTAAAAGATCGTCTAGAAATAACTCTCTCTCTTGGCTGTGTAAAAGATTAAACAATTGAACACAATAATAATTTACACCATGTTTTGATCGATCCAATCGGATCCTACTTTGCCGTATGTGGTCATGTTGCTGACTTTGATATTTATGTAATTGGTTATTTTTCGGTTGTAAATCCATATTGTTTGTAACATATTTAATGCATTCTAGAATATACAGACATGGAAGCGTCAAACACCTAAGCTGTCTAAAAGTTTCTCTGCAATTGTCGCGATATCCCTGACCTCCAACTATTCTTATTGCTCTTCTTTGTATTCCGAAGATTCGCTTAGCCATACTAGAGTGTCCCCAGGCTATTAGTCCATAAGTGATATGAGAAGCAATGAGTAGCAGAGAGAAGTATACTGTTCGCAGCGCATGAGTGGAGACAGTGGCAGATAGTTGTCTCAGCAAAAAAGCAGTAGAACTAAGTCTACCGGCTAACTTAACCCCATGCTCAGCCCATGTCAAGACCGAGTCCAGATATAAACCCAAAAACTTGCATTCAGAAACAACTTCCACCTAGTCATCTGTGCGCAAGGTGAAGACCATGTTAAGTGTCTTACTTACATTTAGGGTCAGGTTATTGCTATTAAACCAAACCTTAGCTAATTCAAATGTATTGCACTGTACCGCTGTAGCCTCATTCAAAACAGAACCCTGTGGCATACTGTGTTTAATATCACCGAGGTCAGAAAGTTGTGAATTAAATTTGACATACTGTTTACGGTTGCACAAATAGGACAATATTAAGCCGTAAGCTTTAGGAGATATGTTGTACATAATTTCCTTAAAAAAGTGATGTGAGAAACACAATCAAAAGCCTTTGTTAAGTCAACAAAAGAGACACTGCAAAATTCTGATTTCTCGAAACAGTCCACAATATTATCCAATAACTTCAATACTGCACTTGTAGTTGATCTACCGTGTCGAAAACCAGCCTGAGTCTTGCTAAACAAAGACGCAACAATTTTTAAAACCGCTGACGTGACTAAACCCAAACCCAACCTAACCCATACTGGTTAAGTATTGAACAATGTTTGACTGGCATTAACTGGAAAATTGAACTAAGAATGCTGCTCAGTAATACGTAACCAGTTTCCATTTAGAGTTGTTCTTACATTAATTACACCAAAATTTTTCAAAATTGCTCATACTGTATCAAACTCAAATTATTTACTTCATTGCAAGCCAATTTCTCTTTGCATAGCCAAACCCAACCCAACCCTTTTTTTTTACGAGGTTGAGGAAAATCTACTAACAGACACCCGGCTTGGGATCTTGAGTGGCCGGATAGTGTAATAATTGAATCCCCGACGATCTCTCCTATTCTCTTTCACCTTGCCAACCGGTCAATATGTCAGTTAATATGTCTCGATGTAGGAAGACAAATAACAAATTACTTTTTATCACGTTATTTTAAAATTAGCCTTCCCTTCTCGGTCCTCTTCTTTCACCCTTATCTTGCCTCCGTCTTTTGCTTCTCTCTATTTCATGTTCTCCGTACCGGGGGTGGAAGGTTGCTTCCAGCTGCTCTGCTCTCCATCGATGCAGGAGGACAAAAAAAAAGACAAAAGGTACTTTTTGTCAAGTTACTATAAAATTTACATGCAAGGCCGAGTTCCACCATCTTTCAACCTGGAATCAGACTATTGACCGGTTAACAAGGTGAAAGAGAAGAGGAGTAGTGTCGGGAACTCACCAAATTGTGACCTCCCGACACTACTTCACACACCCTTTCGCAGTCCTCTCTAGCTGTTCTGAATTGCATACACTTAAACAGAGTGATAAGTTGGTTATTTTCATTTATTCTAATATTTCAAATAATCTCGCAACATGAATTCCTACATCCATAAACAGAGTGTGTTTTGGGGTGTCCTCGTCAACGCAAAACCAACACTTCGTCGTTTGCGATTTTTTATCTTGAAAAGATAACTTCTATAGACGCCATGTCCAGTCAGAGCCTGCGTCAAATGAAAATCCATTTCTCCCCAGTGTCTCGTGCACCATTCTGCCACATTCGGTATAAATGACCTCGTCCATTCTTCATGTTTCTCACATCTTGTCTGCCAGCACTCCATCAATTTTTTTCGTCCATCGGCTTCCCATATACAGCTTTGATCTCTCTCTAAACAGGAGATCCATGGGCGGGGTACCAGCGATGACCTTGATACCCACTCCCTATACCCACGCCTCACACTGTTCTGTAGGCTGATGAAGTGTTTATCGCCAAACGTCTATTTACTGCCGCTAGTAATCCTCTAAATCTTTTGTACTGTAAGGCTCTTTCCCATGTTGGTGCTGCATATAGAACTGCTGATGTGGCTACAAAGGGCAGCAATTAATCCAACCCAACCCAAACCTAAACCCAACCCATACTGGTTATTTTCTTAGTGCTATACCAAACTCATTTGTATCAAAGACAAGGGATTTGATTAGAATTTAATGAAATTCTAAAGTATTTTTGAAATTAAACACCGAGATGTCATCAAATTTTTGGTCATCTTATGTCAGAAAAGTTTACCAAGAGCAGACTAAGTTTGCTATCAGTTCATGTTTCAATTCTAAATCCAACTAATTCACAATCAGCTCTAACTCGCTCATCGACCTCCTTCCTCATTGCCAACAACACCAGTCTGATCTGGTATCCAAATCAGCATTTTTGAACTGTCAATATATAGACAATGTCCGTCTGTTCTTGTATTTGACATTACAAAGATCAGTTAGATAAATAGTTTTCACAGCCTTTTAAGTCAGGTGTAAAAGCATAGATCAAGCAATGCAAGACGTATTTCGCGAGAGCTACCTTTGTGATTATTGCACCAGATCTCGCCAATTCAACAACACATTCTGTGTGTGAGACCTGTTGGACTTTACTACACCAAGCTGCAAGACCATTTGTAACTATTGGTGTAACCATTTTTCTTTCCTCATCTTGCAAACACCCATTTCCAGACTTTCAACATAAGTCTCAATGCAAAATGAAGTGGCTAAATAGGTAATATTACTGTTCCCTTGTGCTTAATATATCTATGATTCGGATACAACGGTTTAGAAGAAACCCACCATTTGGATATCCTTATCCTCAATGAAATTGAGTTGAATTTTATGTCTAATTCCTCTGCTGTATTTATGGTAACACAGGTTAGTTGGGTGATTTTAAAGCTTTATTCTCCTTCAGTTCCTGCGGTTGTCTAATCCACTTGCTCGGACGTTGACCTATCAGAACCTACTTTTTATTCCGAGATGAAGAAGAAATACGAATGAACTCGCTCCCATGATAATATTTGCAAATGAAAGAGTAATCTTTACTTCTCTAAGCACCTCTAAAAGAACTAGATGTATCTCTCTTCCTTGGAATTGGTTTTTGGGATCAAGAGTTAGCTTATCTTATAACCATCTTTCTCACTTATACGTTGCCAAATACTTAACATAAGCTATTTAAAGCTAAAATATGAGATGATCAGAGGCAAATATAAAAACAAAAAACTAATATCCAATTCAAGAGCTTCACTATGTTTTTTAAGATCACATTCAAGTCATATAAACACGTGGCAACAATTATGTGTTTCATCATTTTTTCTCCCACACTCGCTTCTGTATTAAAAGATCTTCTTTTAACTCAAATACACGTGCTAGAATTCTTCCTTTAGAAAGTTATCCATCTCACTATACATAATAAGTAATTTTGGTAACAATATGGTGTAATTAACTTCTATTTCCCATTTCCCATAATGATTTTTGTTTATCTTAATTTATACAGTTGTTTATTACATAACTTTATAATCCTCAAAATATGAATCATAATAAAGCACTTGAGAAGAGACCCATCACAGGTAAAGCACGTGATTTAACTTTCTCGGGTTCAAGTGACCATCTCCAAGATCTCACAACACATCCCAGGAAGATCTTAATAACAAATTCTTATTATGTTGTCCTTTCACTATTTCCTTTTAAAAATCCAAAACCGTACTCTTGTTCGCAACTTGTTAACAAGTTCTTTTTAATCGTTTTAAAATTGCTCTAATTCCCTGCACATAAAACGACTATTCGAGGGCATAAACCATGACGATTAGGCATTTTAAACATTCCGTTCAGGATTCTATTTCAAGCGTACTGACCTCCGGGTCATAACCAAAAGTGGAAAGGAGGAGTCACGCGCTTTCGCCTTTTAAGAGAATCCACTTCTTGTTTGAAAACGAAGACTAAAAAAAATAATTGTGGCACACCGTAAACCGTTTTTACGATGGTGTTTACGAAATTTTCTAATTCGATTACGACATCTTCACTTCGAGATTAGGCGAGGATTCCTTCTTAGATAATTATTTCTAAGATTGCAACTCGATTTATGGCAATAATTATAAATGGAGTATTGAGATGGGAATTAATAATTGAAATGGGGTATTATTAATGGTTTGAAACGTGTTTGCAAGCTTTTTGTATGATGCGAAGTGGTTTATTATGGCCGGTTGATATGCATCTTGAGTCTTAATTATGATATATGAGTTGAGTTTGACTTAATCAGGTCACGGTTTCTTGCTCAATTAGAATTCTCGATTAAATCTTATCCCTACGTTTATGGGGGGTTAAAAAATGTTAAGAATCTGTATGGGGCATACTTAGTTTACTTTCACTTGTAAACAGGAAGCGTTCGCTATACACCTAGACACATAAAGTATCGACGATTTGAAATGATGAGAAGAAATTCTTGACCTATAACTTTTGACTCGAAATTTTCGCAAAGATTTTTTTTGCACGAATCGTGACTTACTTAATAATGATTAAATTTTGTTTTTCAGATTTTTAAATATATCTTATTTGCAACATCATTTCTTTGTGTTCACGCTGGTTCAAGTTATCAATACATAAACTTTCAAAAACCTTCGAGTTCTCAATCGAAACCATCGAAGTTAGCGTATTTACGTTCGTCTAAAGGATACGCTCTTGAGGATCGTTATAGAGGAAGGATCAACAATAACCAACCAGTTCAAAACCATGGTCTTTTACAACAACCCGATAATTTTGCAGGATTCGACACGATCCCAAAAGATTTAAATAATTTATCTTATGAAATAAACGGTAAGAAATCACCATGTTAGATTTATAAAACGAGAATGGAGATATTTCATGTAAAGGTTAAGAAATCGTGAGAAATGTTATTAAAAAGATTCTTGTTACTTGAAAGTTTTATTCTTGTTTTTATTTTTTTTAGAAATTTATGATCCATATCTGTTAACTGGAAATGCAGCAAAACAAGCATCAAGATTTCTTTACGGTCGAGGTCCGTTATTTTTTGGACAATATCCACATGTAAAGGCATTATTGAGAAATCAAGAGAAGAGACAGGCAAATGGTTTGGCTGGGAATCGACTGGGATCGCTAAGACCAAATTCTCCGTTTCATAGATATGAAAAACCACATTATTTTAATTGGTATATTTAAATAAATAATTTCTTCAGGCATAAAACTTCATTTTTATTATTCCTGAAACATTACTGTCCAGTAGTGATGATCACATCTATCCGGTCATTATGGTTATAATTTCTGGTGCATTTCTGAAGTGATACCCTATATTGCCACATTATTGCGATATTTGAATAAAAATGAAATTAATAAGAAAGCTGATAAGTCAACTTATTTGGATCCAAGATACAAAATGAACTTTTGATGCTGATTTAACTAACGAAGTAACTCTAAAAAGAGGATACTTAATTAATAATTGGCGATATTTCTACAAGAATCCTTCAAAAAATTAATTTTATAGCGAATTTTGAAAGTTATCGATGAAAATTGCAACATCGAAAATTTTATCAAAACTTCAAATATTGTTTTCTCAAAAACTAAAAGTTATTTTTGAAAACGAGTTGGTTCATTGGAAAGAGGACACCTTTATTAACATTTTGGGAAATTTTTATATTCATATTCCAAGAAATCGATTTTATACGAATTATTAAAATTTAATCGGTGAAAATTGCAAAATTCGAAAAAATTGTCGATTATTTCAAAAATTTATTTCTCAAGAACTACAAGTGATTTTTCAAAACGGCTTTTTGCAATAAAAATGGAATACTTTAATTAATAATGGGTGATATTTCCACAAGGATCCTTCAAGAAATTAATTTTATAGCGAATTTTTAAAATTATCGATAAAAATTGCAACATCGAACATTTTATCAAAACTTCTAATATTGTTTTCTCAAAAACTAAAAGTTATTTTTCAAAACGAGTTGGTTCATTGGAAAGAGGACACCTTTATTAACATTTTGGGAAATTTTCATATTCATATTCCAAGAAATCGATTTTATACGAATTATTAAAATTTAATCGGCGAAAATTGCAAAATTCGAAAAAATTGACGATTATTTCAAAAATTTATTTCTCAAGAACTACAAGTGATTTTTCAAAACGGTTTTTTGCATTAAAAAGAGGATACTTTAATTAATAATTGGTGATATTTCCACAAGGAACCTTCGAGAAATTAATTTTATAGCGAATTTTGAAAATTATCGATGAAAATTGCAACATCGAAAATTTTATCAAAACTTCAAATATTGTTTTCTCAAAAACTAAAAGTTATTTTNAAAACAAGCCCTAGCAAGATGACTGGAAAAGTGTCAAAACTTTCGTCATTTTGCGGATTTATATTGACAGAAGACGAAATTGTATAACAGTTGTGTGCTTTCTATAAATCCCAATGAAACGAAATATTTGGTCATAGGAGGAAATGGAAATGACATGTCAATCGAGGGGATGAATATTAAAAACACCACACCCTATAAGTATTTCGTCGATAATGATGAAATGGGCAAATGAGAGCTGCTACCAGACAATTAAGTGGTTTTCTATGGAGCCAAGAAATACCTAAGCGAACTAAAATCCGAATATATAAAACGAATATGGGTTCGAACAATGGACAATGAGTAAAAGAAACAAATCAAGAATAAATGCCACTGAAATGTAGTTCGAGTGAGGAATATGGATATAGTAAAGAAAATGGGAATACAGATTAGCACATTGAAAACCATAGTAGCACATGTTCAACGGATGACGAATGAATGGCCAAAGTAAATGATAAACTGAGAACACAAAAGCGCTGGTCACACTAGGGTGCTTGAGTGGACAGACTGCGCTGCTCGCTGATGGCAGCGAGTGCGAGTGAGTCGCCGCTGCCTGGCTACCAAAATAGAACATGCCTAATTTCACCAGCCGTTGACAAATACTCGCCGGCTGGCGGCGAATTTTATGCTCACACCAAGCCGGTTGGCTGACAGTAGCGGCTTCCAAAATCGCGGCTGGCAAGCAGCCTAGCGTGACCCGCGCTTTCTATTATGGTAGCCAGGCAGCGGCGAGTGAACCAGCACACGTGGTCCTTTGTTAAGTTGACCGAGTTGTTAAGTTAAAGTTGACTGAAAAAGAAATGGTTACTTTTTTAAATATATTTCAAAATTATCCGTGTTTGTGGGACACTTTGTCAAAGATTGTTTGAATCCAAACGTGAAAGACGCATCGTACAAAAATTCATAAATAGCAGCCATCACTTCACGTAAAAATACTGAAATTCTTGTCTTCTTTGTATTTATGGCCTAATCCACCAACACAACGTGTCTAACTACGATTTAGATAGTAATGATACTCGTCAAGTATTTCTAAACTAAGCACACTCGCACCCACCCTTAACAACTGCTTAATTAATTGTACACGTGGACCAACGTTGTATACGAAATAGCGAGTAGTAGCATGCAATCAAATGGTTGAGAGTGAAAAATGAGAAAGGACTAATTGATGTAGTTCGTTATGCATAAAAATACCATTTTAAGATTTAAATTTAAGAGTTAAAACTTATTTTCCTAAATTGGAGAACGTAAGTTTTGCATTAAAGTGGTTCAAGTATAGTATTTGATTGAACTTAACTTACTTCAACTGTAGTATTAACCAAATGTTACCACGCTTAATGAATCGTCACTAAAAACACAAACGTTACAAACTTATATAGTTATTAAAAAGATTGTTGTATTATCAACTTCTAGAAAGATTCTAGTATCTTAACATGGTGTTGTGAAAGATGTTGAATATAATTATGTCACATAGGTAACGAATAGTTCGGGATTTATGTTAATTGGTGGAGCAGTAGGATCACTTCCTGATTGTTTTTTTCCAAATTTGCGAATTTACTTCTTTTTATATCCCAGTCGCTGCATTTGTGAAAAGCCATCGCCAATTATGCCTATTAATAGCAATGAGTACTGTATGTTTAGTTCGTGACACAGACTATTACTCTGTGTTTCGTGGTTTTTTAGTGTACAAAATAAGAATGATATAGATTTATATCTCGCTATTATTAATTAGTATCCTAAATTTGTTTATTGTCATATGCTTGGCAAAAAAGCATATTACTCTTAACAAAGAATATGTTGTTCTATCAGAACTGGCACCTAACAGAGTAAAGAGGCTTATTGATTTTAAGCATACTAATGTTCTCTTGTTATCAGAATTCTGGCCAAAGATACCCTGAACTCGAACATGTCTGTCAAATATTCCTAATTGGCTGATATTTCAGTATAACACGAGTTTCAAAAACAATGAATAGTCCAATAGGGTGTCGAGAAATTTGGCATAAAATTTATTCAAACATTATGTGCAATGTACGATCAAAGTTCGAAGTTAAAGCCACCGTGGTGGAGAGGAGTAGCACAGGTCTTGCTCTCAAGGAACGACCACACCAATTCAAATCAGGCGAATACTGCTGTACTACCTTAGCCTTTTACACGAGAGCTGAGTTCTGTTGGAATATCTAGGGAGGTCTGTGGAAGTGAGACTGGCTCCAAGAACTTCCTTTATCGTCTTCTGGAAGCACTTCCTTCATCAGAATCTCATCAAGGTAGTTCTACGAATTTCTTTTTACATTCGTGCGAGAACTCTGATGTTTTAACGGTTATTAACGGTTTTAACAATTATGAATAACTTCTTATCTGTGAGCTCTGCCGGTGAGAAGCGTTTCAGAAGTTCGCGATACCTCTAAAGGCAAGTCGCCATTATCTGTTCCGTCAAAGTGTGAGTCTTTTGCATATTGATGCTAGGAAGCCCCAAACGATGTTTGACGATCTTGTGCAGATTCATAGCTAATATTTAGCTCCTTAGTCATTTTACTGAGACTCCTCCTGGAATTTAGGCGAACCTTGTCGCGGACACGCTTGACCATGGTAGGAGTTACAGCAGTTTTTGGACTTATATTTCTGGGGCGATCCTCAATACTACCGATTTCCCGGTAACGACGGATTGTGCATTGGATGCCTCTACGGAAAACGATTTTTCCGATCTTCTTCCGAGTCACCCCTTTTATGTTCCTTTATACGACATTCGAAGATTCGTCTGGTTTGGCCTAATCTTCTCATCTTGGCACGACCGTCAGTAAACTAATAACTTTTTAACGGAAAAAGTCTGACCTTGAATAGGAAACAATGGGAAAACAGAACAAACCAACATACCTTGATGGTATATACTGACCCGACAAGAAACTACAGACACTAAGTAGTCAACATTATGGGTTCATCTGACATTCCTTTCCTGAACGATTCTTTTCAACTGGTTCTGCAAATTATGGGTTTAATTTTGTAGGAGAAGATAAGCTATCTATTGTTTCATGTAATAAAAGACTTGCGTTCACTTTTAGTGAACTGTATTTGGTGCGCAGGTTTGCAATTTATTGTTATATACGACAGGTAGAGGTATTAAGTAAGAAGTGGGATTCCAGGAATCAGTTAGGGATAAGGTCTCCTAACACTTCAACTAATGACTGCTATATAATATGATGCTCAGGATATCTTAATAAAATCGTTTGGTTTTCTATCATAACAATGAGATTTTTAACGAAATATTTTTAAGGAAATAAACTTTCTAAACACCTGTATATTTGTATTCCTGCATTCCTGGTTGCATATTTTCAATATAACATTTTACTGTTATATTATTGAAACTATACATATTAATATATGTATTAAAAGAAAAATTACAGCTCAAAAAACGTAAATTTTAAAGGAATTAACGTTAAAAGTTTCTTAATTTTTCTTGTTTTTATATTTTCCTTTGCAAATTTCATAAACAACTTAAGTAATAATTTTTATAATTATTTAATAATTATTTTAATAATTATCATTAAGTATAATTTCAATCTCGGTTCCATCTGGCGTTATAAGCAAACCATGTGCGGCCCTTTTGTGCGCTTTTAGCGTCGATTCCTGTTTGCATCTTTGCCCACAATACTCACATTTAAACGGCTTAAAAGGTTTATGAACCATATTGTGTTTATAAAGCGAGGAGTACTCTGTAAAACGTTTGTTGCAATCCTAAAAGATGTATTCATGTAATTTCTAGTTATAATTATAAAAAAGAAAAGGAGAAACGTACAGCAACAGGACAAACATATGGTTTTTCACCTGAATGTATCCTCATATGATTTTTATAATTAGTTGCTGAAGCAAAAGCTTTTCCACACTTTTCTTTTTGGCAAACGTATGGTCTCTCGCCTGTATGAGAACGAATATGGACCTTACGAATGTTTGAAGTGGTAAATGATCGATTGCAACCTTCAATTGGACACTTAAAAGGTTTTTCACCTTGAATTAAAATTAATAAAATCTATTTTCCTAGAAAATTAATCTTACCAGTGTGAGTTCTTATATGTTTTTGTAAATCGCCTGATGTTTTAAATTGTTTTGTACATGTTTGACAAGAATAAGGTGTTTCTCCCGTGTGTGTTCTTAAATGAGCTTTTAATGAGTAACCCGTTGCAAATGATTTATCACATCCTTCCACTAAACACACATATGGACGATCTCCTGTGTGATTTCTAAAGTGTACCTTTAAAAGATTTAATTAATAAATAACTATTTTATAAAATAAGCAAATTCACCATTAAATGTTGCAAGCTGCTATAAACCTTGTTACACCCATTATACACACAAGGATACTTCTTTGTCTTTTTCTCAGATTCTTCTTCCTCTTGAACTTCTTTAACACCGTTATTTTCCATTAAACTCATCCATAACTTTTTATCAATTATAGCTCTTATGCCATCTTCAAATCTAATTTCTTGATATTCACCATCATTTAATACTTCCTCAGAATTTTCCTCGGTGTTTACTTCAGGAATGGTTACAGTATTAGCACCTTCTTCAAGAATTTCTTGATTCACTTCTAAATTTTCCTCTAAAAAAATTTTTTAATCAATGAAAACATCTTATTTATAACCAAAAACTAAATTAACCTGTTTCTGTAAAATATAACCCCCCATCTTCTAAAGAAATCACTTTATAACCGGGTAATTCATCAATCCCTCCCGTTTCATCAAAAACATTGCTTGTTGAAGCTTCCCCTTCGGTTTCAGCAATTTCATTGTTATCGATCGTGAAATAGACGATATTTTCATCTTGAGGCGTTTCTTGCACTTCCACCGTATTATTAACGATCGTGTAATATGTATAGACCGTTTCTTCGTCTGCTTCTAAATATTAAAAAATATAATTTGGAAAATGACGTTTAAGTTAAAAGTGAGGTTAGGTATTTTGTATTGATTGCTAAAGAGTAAATATGGCTACTGGAAGGGAAAGGATTGTAAAAAGAAGGGCAAAATGAGGAAATAAGGTGATTTGGGGATTAATTGAAATTAAAAATTTGTAGATAAATGTTACTTTTATGAAATTAACGTGTTAGATGTGAAAAAATTAAAGTAATAATGTTAGGAATCTTGGGAAATTACCCATAATGTCTCCAAGGCCAGTAGACGTTGACGTGAACGTTGCCAACTTTGAAACAATTAAATGTTTTTAAATATTTTTATTTATTTATTAAAACGAAATTATTTATTATTATTAATTTTATTGTTTATATAATTGATTTTATTCCGCAAAATAAGTGTTTTTTTGAATTGTGAACAAAAAAATAAAGAATCAAAAAAATACCCCAATAAACATTATTTAAACATTAGGTTCGTTCCAACCGAACAAATTTGACTCGTCGTGTACGCGTACACGACTAGTACAGGACTTTTTTNATAATTGGTGATATTTCCACAAGGATCCTTCAAGAAATTAATTTTATAGCGAATTTTGAAAATTATCGATGAAAATTGCAACATCGAAAATTTTATCAAAACTTCAAATATTGTTTTCTCAAAAACTAAAAATTATTTTTGAAAACGAGTTGGTTCATTGGAAAGAGGGCGCTTTTATTAACATTTTGGGAAATTTTCATATTCATATTCCAAGAAATCGATTTTATACGAATTGTTAAAATTTTATCGGCGAAAATTGCAAAATTCGAAAAAATTGTCGATCGTTTCAAAAATTTATTTCTCAAGAACTGAAAGTGATTTTTCAAATCGGCTTTTTGCATTAAAAAGAGGCACTCTAATTAATAATCCGCCAAAGCCGGATATTTGGTAACTATCCGTTCCACCACTACTGTTAAGCAAAGATTTTCAAATATTCAGTTCTTGAATTGGTAGATAAACATTATGAATTATTGATTAAATTATCCATTAGCAAGGTTTGTTTAAGTCAATTTAAATAAAAACAAATTTATTCCTCTTTCTTGCTTTTATATTTTATTGTACTTCTATATCGATTTCGAGGAAACAATCCTCATCTTCAGTAAAATTGTCAATTAAGTTGAAAAAATATTAAACATTAAATCGAACACATCACAGTAACTGCATTACCACCTATAATATTCAGGTTAGGTAAAGGATTGAGTCAAAAATCCAGTTTAATATCTGGATTTTCAGCTAGTAAATCGTGAATCCAGTTACTTCAATTGTTTTTGCACTTGTCCATTCAACCACTTGGATCTAATCAAAAGTCCTATCCACTAACTACACATGCAGTCATTGAACTGCATTTTCCATTGGTCACAATAAAAATCTAGTAATTATTTCTGACAGTGCATTGTATCAAAAATGATAAAATAGTCCCAGGATAATGTAAGGATGTCCGGTTCAGATTGTTGCATGATAACCTCGACTCAGAAACACATTTCGGAAGTTCTTGTCCATAGTCCAGACTTGGTTTCTTCTGATTTTTAATTGGTTGGACCGTTGAAAGTTTTTTTGTAGGCTAAAAGAGCCATCTACAAGAAAATCAAGAAAATGCAATCTACAGAAATTTCACCAGAACGAAGAAGTTCGTTTGTAAAATTCATAAACCAGATGTCAGAAGTCAGTGCTATAAATTCTCCAATGTACTGGTTGACGAAGCCCTTTACCTAGATTCTGTCTCATTTACAAATACAACAAAATCATATGTCAGAGATTCTACCCATTTTAAGGAATTAATCAAAAATACAAAGTTAGATCGCCAGGATGTCTTGGTAAGCTTCGATGTAAAACCTCCATTTATCAGAGTATCAGTCAAAGATGGTCTTCACATTTGTTATCGGTAATCCCCAGTTTTTACATGGGTATGTTTAAATAGCGTTAAAAAGGTGTCCGTGGAAATCAAAGCTATGGTTGCGTTACGAGGATAACACTTTTGTGATCTGGTAGCATGGATAAAAGACAATCATTCGTAGACCATCTGAGTTTAGTTACCGCAAAATTAAAGTTCTGTATCGGAAACTACATTACCGGCGTTCGACAATGAAATTTTTTAGTTTTCAATGGTAATTCCTTATTCGGTCGCCGACCGGTGGTTCCCCATTCTACTGGGTGACATATTTTACGAAAAACATTTAGAACGTTGGGCGTATTGTAGGCAATATTTAAAAATATTGGGAATGTATTTGATGTATTAAACGAAGAGGATGCGTCAATCAAAATTTCAAAGGACCTACTTAATGATAACACAACAAAATTAGATTTGATTTGATTCATTGCATCAAATTATGGCTTTCTTAGCGCATCAATAAAAACATTGGAAACATCTGGGCTCCGGTTTTTAGATAGGTTGATGTAGTGATACAACCTCAGGACTTAATTAATGGCATAAACAGTGAAGCTGTTTTCTTCAACTAACATTTTTGAAGCATATTTTTGGTTTCCCTAGTTATAACAAAATTTGTGCGTTGCGGTGATAATGGCCAGGAAAAATCCACGCATACCTAAGCTTATAATGTAAATGGGTTAACATTGGCGGCAATTATATTGAAAAATAACTAGTAACCATTTGATTTCTATAAATAAAGTAGAAACCTTGTACACCAAAATAAATTTTATTTAAAAAAAATACATAATTCTTTTCTATATATGATTAAAATTGATAAAATGAATAAACACTCCTAAAACTAACAATATCACACTAAAATCTAAATGATTTCCTTTATTACATAAATCTCCTTTACAAAAACACATAAATACTCGTTGATGATTATATTGTGTATAAGCACATCTTTCCTCATTATCAGATGGTCCTCTTTGCAAACAATGCCGTTGAGTTGCTATGTCATAATCTAAAAATCACCAAAAAATTAAATAAATTTGAAAAAATTGTAATATGTGTTGCCTAAATCCCAAAAAAAGCCTCAACTTCAAAATAAAATTAATAACCTTCTTTTTGGGCGTTTTCTGTTTCTAACATTTTTCCGCACCACCCAGAAGCGCAAGGAGCCGAAGTGATGCCTGTATCATTTGCTTTGAACACAAAGGTGTCTTTGCAACTTCCTAATTCGCCTCTGCTTCGGCATACGTAGCATCGTTGTAAGAGTCCTAATGAATAAAACAGCCAGTGAAAAAGCATAATGAATTTTTCATAGATTTTCACTTACCGTTATTAAAACTTGGGAGAATAACTATAAAGATGAACACAACCGTTTTATAATGCATCGCGAATGCTTATTTGGTTAAGTTTCTATCACATAAAAGACATTTTTTGTACTTTCACCTGGCAGTGACTACTACTTCTTGAAGGTGAAGAACTTGGGTGTAAACGTATATTTTATACGAAAATGAACAAAAGTTATTGTACATCAATCATCAGAATCACTTACAAATTTTTTGGTATTATCAAAATTTGTTTTTAACTCTTTTTTACTACTAAAACTAGTAAAACTATCGTCATCGGAAGTTTCATTACTTTTTAATTGAAACCCCTTATCAGAATTTTTCACCCTCATTCCACAACAAGTTTGGATAAAAACCGATCCAACTTGAACGGTGGATTGCTTAATTTTCCCCTTTTCTTTCAAATCATCGCTGTTTTCGCCTTCTTCTTCATCATAATCGCTAAAAATTTCTTTCTTACGATTTATAATGCGCAGTTCTCGATAAGTTTTAAATTTGTGTCTTCGCGTGCATGTTATAATTAACCCAGAAATGTAACAAGAAATTGTTAACGAAAGAATAAATCCTAAATACATCATGTGACGTAATAAAGCTTGCGTTAATAATCTCGATTTTGAAACGACAAATATCATAATTTGTTGCATTCGAACGCCATCTACTTGGCAAGTGTAATTTCCTTCTTCTTCTTTGGTAACTTCGTGAAGATACAAAGTGTTGAAGGTGTCCACAGTTATTTTTGGTTCCAAATCAGGACTTGGAGGAGGAACACTTTCCCCGGGAGGGAGTTTTCTGCCGTTTTGACTCCATGAAACGATGTTTTCTAAAGAAGACCTAATTTTTTTGTTATAAAAGAATAATTAAGATAAAATCGAATTACTCAGGACAAACTAAGGTTAAATGCGAATTTTCTGTCAACACGAAAGTTTTTCTGTATTTGTATCCGGTTTTTTTAGTGGATTTCCATCCGCTATAAACTCCTTCAGCATCTAAATAAATAAATTTAGTATAAAATTTATTTTTTTGGTATAAAAAGAACCTGGATTGCAAGCTCCTTGACATTGTTCGGAAATTTCAAAATCAGGAATAACACTCGTTGTGTTAAAAATCATGGGTACTAATTCTTTTAAAAGAAAAGATTTACAGCTTATTTTGTCTAATTTAACAAATATCGCTTCGGTTTCGTTTAATACCTTTCCAAAAGTTCCGTTCTTAAATTTAAATCAATTTTAAATTTGAATTTGATATACAGTGGCGGACAAAAGTTTACATACAGCATTGAATTATTACAGCAACCAATGTTTGATAAGGTTTGCGGTATGTTTGGGGTCATTGTCTTGCTGGAATATCCAGTCATCCTCTACACCACCGACCAATAAATTGGATCGCAATGGCTTAGAACAGGGAGGAATGGGGTTGCCTTGAGGAGCCCTATGTCCAGCAGTGTAGAGAAACGGGCTGATGATGATGATGATTGAGCGATTTGTTTTTTAATTCTGTATGTAGACTTTTGTCCGTCATTATATTTAGTGCCATCTACCGTTCGAGAGATCTTAACAGCACACATTCCCGCCATTTTTCGAATTCCCTCCCCTTGAGGACGACCACAAGTCTCGCACGGGCCCCATGCAGAAAATTTAGTCATTAATTCCAACATTACATTCAAAGTCTTCCTTAAATAAACGTAATTAGCCCCGTTACTGTTATTAAATAAATTATTGATGGGTTTAAAATAATCGTTAGTGTAAATAGCCCAAGAAGTAAAGTTTCCTTCTTCTATATTCGTCGAATTATCGGCTACATCAATATAAAAGTTAAATAAACGTTCGTTTTCGTTCCATTCTGGATTAAAACAGGAATAATAACCCGAATCGTTAATCGTAATATTTAATATTTTAAGAGAGTGGTCGATGTCGACGTAAATTCGACTTAAATTTTTGTTGTTATTCGTGTCAATTTTTAATTCGGTTTGATTTATATTATCCACAGTTTTTGCTTTGTACCAAATTTTGGATTCCTCGTTATCTTGTTGTTTACTAAAAAAAAATAAAATTAAATAGTCATTAGGACTAATGACGTTTAGGAGAAATGACCGTTCAGTTTAAATGTCACACAAACCGTGGTGGGAGATAAAAACATATAAACGTGCGGTGTGTTGTTGTAATTAACGTTTAAATTTGAGGTAAGTTGTTAAAAAGGAATCGTTTACCAATAATGGCATTGCATAACTACGTCCTGTGCAATTTCTACGGCGAACAATTCGAATAAATCTCCAGATTCGGTTGAAATGGGCCTATCGCGCTCCCTACAGAAAACCGAACGCTTTGGTTCGTCTTCGTCTTGCGAATATCCCTTCTTTATCAATATTATTATTAGCGTCAATGCGGCGTTAATTTCGCGGGGAAAAATCATATTTTAAATCTCTAAAATTGAATCGATTCTGACAGCGATTTGGCGACATAGCAAGTTTAATATGAGTGATAAAGATGGAGCATATTTTGATTGCAACACCATTGGTGTTTTTCGATTGTTTTTTAATAATTTAATTAAAAAAAATTGGGAGATTATTACTAAATTAACTTTTAACTTTAATAAAATAAATTATTTATTTTTATTAATGAATATGAATTAATTGGAGGTGATTTAAATTGATGTTGGGATCAAAACTTTATATAGTTTAAATGGTTCAAAGGTTGACCGCTTGCAGTGTTGCCAAATAGTAAACGAGCGTTCAACTGTTTATTAGGCGGGACGCTTTGGACCTGCGCAACAATGTCGCATGCTTTAGGCATTTTGATTTAAAAAAATTAATTTACAGATAAGAAAAAAATCGGTTTGAAACATTATTTTACCGTGTAATGTATGTTTTTAGATGTAATACTGTTTCGGTTCGAACAATCACGGGGTGAAAATCTATTTTTAAATGGTACCAGTCGGAGTAGCGAAGCTCCCAGAATTCCAAACATACGACGTCAACATGGCGGACGAACTTAAAAGTGAGTTGTTCAATATTTTAAGGTATTCTTCTCAATTTCGCCACGTTCTCTTTAACTTGGCCCCTTCCAACAGATTCCTATCATCCCATCGTAAACTGTAAAAATACTCGCAATGGTCATTACATCACCAAACACCTCATAAACCTTAATCAAACCATGGGCTGTGATATGTTTAAATTTGAAAATGGTCATGTTCCAAATTCAAACCTACCGATGATTTTCCCTTTATAACTTAATCGGAACATAAAAACATCCCTTCAATTAACAGTAAGTAGACGTCTTTTACAAATTCTTCATATATTTACAGTTGAATCAGCCAGTACTTTGCTAGACTTGGATAGGAGCCCCAAAATGTCCAGTGAAAGCATCAGCATAAAACAAGAGCTCGATGATGACGATTCCAATATGGAAATTGACGACGACGTACCCCGTTTAGGACCGGCCACATTCGGTTTACAAAGAGTAGGAGCTCCGATCACCCCAAAACCGTCACCATCACAACCGACACAGGTACTCAATGCCCGAGGTATGCCTGCAAGAATACGGAAGAAAAATCGTTTGTTTTACGACGATGACATCGTGAATACACCTCACCATAGAGTACCATCGGCGAAAAAGCAAAAACACACCCCTCAAAAACGACAGAAATTAACCCCAACAAAAAGTTACAAAGACGTTTTAAAATATAGCGTTAAAAAGTTTGCTAAGGAACAAAAACCAGTTATCGGGAATACCCCACCCCCAATACAATCATCCGATCGAAAAATTGGCCAAAAAATCGGTATGAGACTAAGAAATTTATTAAAATTACCCAAAGCTCATAAATGGGTTTGTTACGAATGGTTTTATAGTAACATAGACAGATGCTTGTTTTCTGGTGATAATGACTTTACTATATGCTTAAAAGAATCATTTCCTGAGTTAAAAACAAGAGAGTTAACTCGTATTGAATGGACGAAAATTCGTAGGATGATGGGGAGGCCAAGAAGGTGTTCTCAAGCTTTCTTTGACCAAGAACGCCTTGATTTAGAAAAAAAACGAAACAAAATTAGAGCGTTACAACAAAGAAAAGCAACAGATTTCGCCAACTTTCAAGATTTACCATCAGAAATCCCAATGCAATTAGTTATCGGTACAAAAGTAACCGCAAGACTAAGAAAACCACAAGATGGGTTATTCACAGGAAGTATCGACGCTGTGGATACATCAAACAACACCTACAGAATAACATTTGAAAGACAAGGATTAGGAACACATTCCGTTCCTGATTACGAAGTCCTTTCAAACGAACCACCGGAGACGATGACAATATCAAATTTCCAAAATAAGTTCCGCCCAAGGAACGGACTCTCCCCATACTCAGCAGTAAGAAGCCCTCCATATTCAGCAACAAAACTAAAAAAGGATCCGTTATTATCCATGGTAAATAAACCACTGTTTACGAGTGCTGAACGGATTGGTGGATTTCCAACAAAACTTTTAGAAAAAATTGTTTTGGTTACAAAGATTTTGACGAAAAAGAAAGAAAAAATCACCGTTTTAAAACGAATGAATTCAGAAGCTGAAAAGATCCGTTCTTTTAATAAATCCATAAATTCGCTTAGTGATGATTTTGAGAGAAAATACGCAACGGTTTTAGTTGAGTTAGAAAAATTAAATGTCGATCTCGAAAAGTATTTAGATGAAATGCAAACGTACTGTCAAGAAATTGCTTTAGAACCAAGTGTTGCAGCTATGTTGGCTCCAAGTCATTTACGAGAAAAATGTCGAATCGAAGCCACAGAAATTGTACATAGATACAATATGGTTCCAAGTGGAGATCGAGAACCCGTTAAAAGTAAATCGATCTTAGATTTAATTACGGATTTAACCGCTTTAATGCTTCAAGTGCGGAGTTTGTCCGATTCCGATCAAAACGCGTATGAATTACAAGTATTGGAAGGTACGATGGAACAAATTAAACGAAAATTAACACCAGGAAATGTTACAAAGTTCCAAAGTAACGTTGAAGTGCACATGAAGCATATTCAAGTCGGTTTGAGTCAGTCTTTCAATGGTAATGCAAGTTTGAATACAGTTTTGAATGTGAGCAAACCGTGATGGCACCTTAACAATTATAATTTTCTTTCACTTTTTTGCGAACATGTGCTTAGGTGTGCAATAATCAAGAAACATTCTATTGTTTTTCTTTATTCTTTCTTTATAAGTGGAACTTTAATCATTTATATTATTACACTTTGATAATGTATTTTAGATGGTATACATACTTTTTTTCTGCAAAAAATTGGTTAACCTTGATAATTTGTATATTTTCTAATTTTTAGATTTAACCATTTGTGAGCGTGTAAAAACAGAAACCTAAATGCATGTGAAGCGGTGTTTTCCTAATTTTTGATGATTTATATTCGTCAAGTTTATAAACAGATGTATATATAAATATAAGAAATATTTGCTAGTGTTACTTGTAGATGTGAAATGCTGTTTCTTACAATTTAAAAATTTTTGGAAAGGGGTAACTGATTTATTTGAAAAAGATTTCTGATATAGAATAAAATTTGTTATTTATTAAAAGATTATCTTATTAATATTGTTTTAATTTTTTTTTCTTTTGAAGGAATGAACCTAAAATTTTACCTGCATATCCTGAAGAATATCAAAATAATCCTTTCTATGAAAAACTTACCTACATGTACCATTATCACATCAAATATCCTAAAAATATGGCTTCTTTATGATTATGTTGAAAAGGTTTTTATTTGGTGCTTATTAGAAAACTAATTAAACATGTAAATAAAGAAAAGGTGAGATATATTAATATAATAAACTCTAAAATAAATTTATTTTTTCAGTCCATTGTAAATTTACCAACAACACTTTACACAGCTTGCAAGAATTCACTTAGTTCACCAGACAAATTTTTCTAAAAGTAATAAACGTTTGAAGGCATAAATTTCTGTCACTAAACGAATCTTTGACGAACCAGCTTGATTTTAAGGACGAGATAATCAAGGTTTGTGCATACACATTAACTTTTATCTTGTGAAAAATATTAAGCCTTTGGCCTACAACCACGAGTGAGACTTGTGGTAACGAATTTGTGCTGTAGACGAAAACCACTAGTCTGACTCGTGGCAAGGAATTTGTACCATAAGCGAAAACCACGAATCTGACGCGGGGTGAGTAATTATACATTTTGGGAATGTTTGAGCTGAACAGCTGAATAATTCGGCAGATAGCGCGTAGGCCAAGTGACTAAAAAAGAAGGATTTGTTACTGGATCGTTGTTAAATATTGTTTCAAAATAATCGATATATTCGAACGATATCTATATTGCACGTGTTGCAAGTGCATAAGTTGGTTAACTACATCTTCCTTATGTTATTTTATCGCGACAAAGATTTAAATAAATAATTTACTAAAACATTGCAACAAAATAATATCTTATCCAGATCGTACAATAATAGAACATAAAGTAACCGTGTCGTAATAGGTTTGTTTGTAGAACAACTTATAGTCACTTCGAACCAGTTTCTGAAGAAGGTTGCAACATGGCATCCGAAACGTCAAACCTTTTATTAAAAGACGTACGGCAAAACCCGAAAGTTTCTAGTTTTATTTCTAATTTTAGTTTAACTTATAGTCACTCATCTTAAATAATTTACACATGTCAATAGATTTGCTTGCATCATTTGACATGTGCGAATGGAATTTCGAGTTTTAAACCAGTCAGAAACGGTTTAAGCAATTATTTGTGCAGTATCAATCTATAATATATAAATTTGTATTAAAACATCCAATAATGCTTGATTTGGACACTATATCAGTTACGCATACGTTGTGTTTGTTGTGACGTAAACATTTTAAAAACGTTAAAAGTAGTCTTTGCTCTTTTTGGTTAAGGAATTATAATTCTTTATTACATTCGTCCCGTAAAATCATTAAGCTTGTTTTGGTTCAAGTGTAGTTCCGAACAGTTTTGAACCTTTCTGCGCATACATATTGCATATTATACTTATGCACAGAATGGTTTATTGACACACGTTGAAACAATTTTGAATCCTTTGCAAGTGTCCCAACTAAAAATAGTTGTCTCTTCTCAATAAACTCCAATTTTAATTGTTTCTCATCTTATTCCCCGTAATTGTTCCTCTTACCTTCCCAGGATTCGAATCACATTTTGCTGGTATCATACTTTTCAGATGGTCTGTCAAGGTCTACGTTTCGCATCCAAAGGTGAGTTTCCACAGGTTGGTATATGCTTTATACACCTTCATTTTGGTTTAACTTGGCACTCTTCTGTTCATTAGTTTAGTATTTCTTGCTGTCCTCTTCCACCTATCATCACCCCTAAGTATTAAAAATAATCATCATATATATAATAATCGTCTTATTGTTATTTTATTCGCCGTCAAGAATATATGTTATCCTGCATTCTACGTATCCAGGTTCTTTGACAGATCTTGTTCGCTTCCAACAAAATATTACAATAACATCCACAAACACTCCATCCGTAACTTGCAAATTTTATAATTGCTTATGACCTATTCCTAATTTCTTTCTTGACATTTTAGATTATTTGTTAATTTCATATATAAATATGATGGACACTAATGAAAGAATGTTGTCTCCTGTCTCAATCCGATCTTTCGGATGAATATTTTTGATATCACATAGTTCCTTTTAACTGCATTCGCAAAAGATAATAATAACAATCTTTGTGTATCAAGTCTATCTACGTCATATGTGTTGACTAAAAATTAAACAAATACTTCTTCTGTTGTAGAATAAGGATGTTACAAATTGGTCTTTGTGTTTAAAGTAGTACAATAAATACTCCAAAATACAACGATATTGTCAAAATCTTTATCGGTTAATCGTGGTGGCAGTCTTCCAGAAAATCAGTTAACAACTCTTCCTACTCTGCATTGTGAATCGAATATAATGTGGTCACAAACAGAAATACCTCTCTAATTAATAACGACATAACTACTTATTGAGTTAGATGAGGTTTTAGCCACTTCGGCAAACACATAACGAACAAATCAACGAAGTAGAAAAATGATGCAACCAATCTGTTTACAAATCTGAATATCCAATCATGGAATGTTTTTAAATCGTTGTCAAACTTGAAACTATAAGCTAAGAGAATTTCTCAATAGATTTCGCGAGATGGACGCCTATGATTAAGCTACACAAAACCGTCTTTCATAAGCTTTATAATACATATTAACCCGATAAAGGTCTAAAACCAATCTGATTCGAAAAAAGTATGCTATAACTAATAGGTGTAACTTTTACAAAGACCTTAGAGGGAATACTGCATACTGAACTGTACCAAAGGGCTGCGGAAGACATTATAAGCACTAATATTGTGCTATCAATGCCGTCAGATTTGGCGGGATTTGGCTCGATACCAGATTGTACTACCTGAACGGTAGTTCTGGATTGAAAACGAAAATTCTCTGGTTCAGGCAGATATTTGCATGTTCACAGATGGATCAAAAATGCCGGAAGAAGTCGGGGCAGGAGTATACTGCCAGACACCACGTATTAAGGAGCAAGCTTAGAGCCTGGGTACGTACTGTACTGCATTCCAGGCGGAAGTATTTGCTATTCACATGGGTGGCAAAATCCTTCTTGAGAGAGGGGCGAAGAACATAACAGTACGATTTTTCTCATACAGTTAAGCCGCTCTTCAGGCGCTGCAGGCCATGATAACGGTGTCGGCTCTGGTTAATGACTATAAAAGAACTTTAAACACACTGAGTTGTGATAACAGAGTTTCTCTGATCTGTGTCGCAAGTCACTCTGGAGTTGCTGGCAATGAAGCGGCAGATGAACTAGCACGAGAGGATAGTTGGTGTATCATTTGCGTTGGCAAAACATACTATTGGACTGTGGGCTTAAGAGAGACTTCGCCCACTGTGGACCAGTTCTCCTGGAACGAGAAAGGCTAAGTTGTTTATTAATGTCGCCACTGTGAAACCCGGGAATATTTTAGGAATTGCTCGTAGCAGGATTAAGGTTCTAATGGGTGTCTTTACTGGGCACTGCCGATTAAAGACACACCTCAACTTGTTGGGCAAGCAGAGACGGTTGAGCATGTTTTATGCCACTGCTGTTAACCGTATCAGATTCTCGGTTTTTGGGTCGCAGTTTATCTCCCCATGTCCGTTAAGAGCATTGGACTGCATGGTGAAATTTGATAACGTTATCTATCGGGGTACAATAGATCCTCAGGGTCGCGGTGCAAGGTTAACTACAACGCATAAACAAGAATTGTGGCTTCCTTTATTTTCCGTTTCTTCTTAGGTAACTATACAAACAACTTGTAAAATGGTAGGGGCAGTGGCAGCAGCTGATATTTGAGAAATTCGAAATCTGTTACATAAAGCAAAATTGAACTCATCTACAGAATTTCTCTCTGAAGTATCTGAATCTCAATAAGACCTAATATATGCTTCTTGTTTGCCATCCTTCATTTTAATACTTATCTCCTGTTTTCCAGCGCAGATAGACGTAACTGTTTAATGATTTTATCCTAATAAAAATCCAATCATATTTCTGTAAAAATCTACCTTCAAACAAACCAAGAACCTTTTTTATAACAAAGCTAATCCCAACCTGATATATTTATTAATACAAAGATATTTTAGGATAAATAAAACAATAGTAAAAATTGAGCAAAAGAATGTATTTAATTTGAAACAAAATACAATTAAATTGATTGAAAATTGAAACAACATAAATACCTTACAATGAAAAATTAAACATACATCTAACACACTAAAATAATTCATTTCTTCTGTTTTTCAAGTTCACCAAATAATTGATCAGCTTCTTCTGGTGATTTAACGCGAATAAGGATGGGAACAGGTGGTGGCTTAGAATCCGGTGTTGGTACAGTAACCATCATAACATCTTTTTTACCCATCCTCTTAGTAGGAATTGATTGTGATAAAATAAAATTACACAAAACTTTACCTAAGCTAGTATCAGCTCTAACAATTAATTGAACCTTTTCTGAATCTGGTACTGGTTTTAAATACAAAGTACCAACCCCTCTATCTCCAAATTTCCCATCACTCTTCACAAAAACTTTGCATTTCATTGTAAAAACATATCCCTCTTCAACAACGGGAGTAAAATCGTTTGTAGGAGGTTCATCATCGTCTTCTTCATTTTTAGGTTCTACTTCGTTTGTTGTCGTTGGTAAAGTGAATGTTGATGTCGATGGAGTTGATCCAAATGAAAACATGGGCATTGGTGTTGATGTTGGCATGCCAAAAGTGAAGTTCTTTGATTCGTTGCCTTTATTTGGAGCTCCAAAAGTAAATGTAGGTTTAGTTTCAGTTTTATCATCTTTTTTATCAGTTTTAAAAATTGAGGTTTCAGCTGGACTTTTAAACAAACTTTCTTGGGGTTTATCAGATGTTTGATTTGGAATTCCAAATACAAATGTAGGCTTGGTAGGTGTTTTTTTAGACTCCTCCTTTGCCTCTGTTTGTTCGGGTGGTTTAAACGATATTGTACTATAATCCAAATTACTTGTTTCTTTCTTATTATCCTTAGTTTTTAAGTCATTAAAATGTTTTTCGTAATCTTTAAAAACCGGTTTTAAATCAACATAGGGGTTTTGATCAACTTTTGATTTAATCCAATTTGATACACTTTCATTTAACGCTTTTATTTTTGCTAGGAATTCCCCATCTTCCTCTTTTTTTTCGTACGCTTGAAAAGATGGGTTATTTGTTACCTTTGCAACACCCAACATATTCGTACCATTAGTTGGTGGTTCTTTTTCTTTCTCTTTATTTAGATTGTTCAAAAATGAAAATGCTGTTGATGGGGCGGGGGCTGGTTTCCCACCGAAACCGGAAAAATTCCCGAAAACGCTTGATTTTGGAGTTTCACTTACGTTTGATGAGATAGGATTCCGTCTTCTTGCAGTTTTTATTACTCTTTTTTGTAAAACCTCACTCGTTGCCTTTTTAAATTCTCCAGCGTCTTCTGGTTCCTCTTTGTCGTCCCAATTGAAATGATTTAACTCGCTTGTTGCTGTTCTTTTAGCCATGTAGACGAGCGGGATTTTTTGTAAGGTTATGTTCGTTGAATAACCTGTTGAAAATGATTTTTTTTGCAAACGTAACTTTCTTTAAATTTGATTATTTGCGATGTATATGTTGTTGAATTTTAAATTATTGGGGAATTATTGATACCACTAATAATTAAACGAAAGAATTTTTAAAGATTTGTCAAGTTGACAATTATCGAGGGGAACATAACCTCATTTTTGGTGATTTTTGGAATGTCGACCATGAATTAAAAGAAAACGATTTTTTTTTTAATTATTTCATTTATTATCCCGTTCACCATACAGTTAAACAAAAATAAGAGAAAAAAATTAATTTACTTCTTCTAGATAAATAAAAAAAAATAATAAATAAGAAAATATTTGAATAAAGCCCAAAAATTACAACAGATAAAAGTATTCCTTTTTTGAGAATAAGTTACAATTGGTCAAGATGATTTTCTTTTTAACTAAAACTTAAAGAATTATCCAACAAATAAAATAACGTCGCAGTTTTTAAAAAACCACCCGGAACACCTGGGATCAATCCTAAATTATAATCACTAACGGTGTTATAAAGAGAATGTGTCTTAAGGCACTAATTTAGATTGATAAGACCGTGTATTGCACCCTATTATAAACAAAATAATAATCATAGTACAAAATAACTATTTATGTATAAATACTGTACAAGAAAGGTGGAATTTTCCTAACGAACAAGAGAAGAAAATGGAATGCATTACCTCGACTAAATTCTACATAACAACTTTTTCTTTTACTTAATAACAAATCTACTATACAGTTTTTTTGTAAATACAGTGTATATATAATCTCAATCTTTCTTAATCCATTTTTTAATTAAATATAATTTATATGTATATTTTTACAAAGCTACTAACGCTTTTGGACGGAATTGGTTCTCTGTTCTTTATATTTCTATTCACTTTTTCATGATTTAGAGCAAACTTCATGTCAACCATATTGATGAGGCACTTGTAAATTTTAACTAAAAAAAACGATTTGATTACGTTTTATATCTTGCGTTTTGTACATTTTCGATTATAACTCACGAAAATTCTTTTAGGCAATATATTAAAAAAAGTGATTGTAATTTTTCTATGTATACAGAAATTCTATCACAGCGTCGGGAATGTTTATGTTAGTTAATGTTAACCATTAATTGGAATGATTTTTTAAAACTAAAAGAACCTCGCAAATTACAATCATCACTTTCTTTCTTTCTATTTTTTTTTGTTATTATTGATGACTTTTGCTGAGCAAATGTGAATTAAATTCGTAAACATTACAACATTGTTCTCCGCAAATATTACATTTCCACGGATTCGCATCTGAGTGACAACCTTTATGTAAAAAGTATAAGGTTTGATCTGGGAATCCTATTCCACAAAAAATGCATTGTAATCCTGAGAGGGATCTTTTCCCAGATATCCTCCATACGGTTGAATCGGACGGTTGTTCAGGACCTGTGGATGTAATAGTACCATTTGTGGTCGTTCCTGGGTCATTTTGTGAACTCTCTGTGTTTCCAGGTGAGATTGTAGATCTTCCCCTCATTGATGAACTACTTCTTGTAACAATTTTTCTTTTGAGGTCTTCACGCAGCAAACTTTTTAATGGTGAAACTAAAATTGTTTAAAATTATTTTTTATTATTTTGAGGATTTAATTGATTTGTACCTGACGAGGGCGAGGTACTAAGATTAACCGGACCACGTTTACTTTCAAATGAATCTTCATTAGGTTCTTGTTTGATTGGTATAAGCGAAATGGATGGAGTTATGCTGGTTTCGTGATCTATTCGAAGCGAATTTGATTGCATGTGGCTGCTTGAAGGTGCGTTTGAGTTTGAATCGGCCGATTGTGGTGAACCTGGACACTCTCCATTGAGTCGTTGAGAGGATTCGCCACTTTGGCCAGGTTGTGAATTGCTTCTTTGCTCACACTAAAGACGGATATAAATTTCTATATGTTAAGGTTAACCATATAATAAAAGAAAGCTTAATTGCAATCATAAATTCTATTTTATTCACCTTTGACTTTTATTTTTGAAAAGAATTGAACTTACCAATGAAGGAGAAAAAACAGGATTTGGGGCGTCTGCCATGGAAATTTCAACGTGAGGTGTTAAAAAATGCATAGGAGGTGTGGCATTATCTGTTGATCTAGCCCCAGTTGAATCGCCTGAATCACTGTAATTAGCAGCAACGCTTACGGAAACACTCCCAGACAGATTTCCCAATGAATTTAAGGCACCATCTATTTGAAAACCTTGTTGGGCTGCAGCGGCTAATAGCGAAGCCTGAGATCCAGCAGGGCCGGGATTATCCAGGTCGATTCCATGTCTATTAAAAAAATGCACCCTCAAACTTTTCATAGACCCCGCTCTATAACTACATAAAGGACACGACTTAACCAGATCATGTTGTCCAACATGTTCGTTTTGGAAATGAGCCCTCATCGCGATTTGCCTTTGAAACCCTCTATTACAAATGGGACAATGATAAGGCAACGTTTTTGTATGTGTTGTAAAATGTTCAGCCAAATGATCTTTCCTAAAAAACCTTTTTTGACACACTCGACATTCGTATGGCTTCACCCCAGTATGTCTCATTTTATGTCTCCGCATATTCGCGCCATTTGAAAATTTCATGTTACAAACATCGCATTCAAACATTTTTCGATGCAGGCGATCGGCGGGCGGATTATTATTTTCAACTTCCAGTTCAACTTCGTTTCCACGTCCACTGGAATGCATTTGGGCTATATGGGCCGTTAGGGCAGACTTGTTAATGGCTTCAAAATCGCAGTGATCGCACCGATGCGTACCTTCGCTTGAATCGTAATTCGTGTTACTTCCTGTTACTCGTTCCATGTCGTTTTGTTCATCGTCTTCAGCGTTTCCAGTGTCTTCCGATGTTGTTCTTGCTGTTGCACTACCCGAATCTGCTTCATTTTCCACACCTGTATCTGCCATAATCACCGGGTTTTAATGGTTTTTATTGGTGGTGTGAGGTGTTCCATTAAAAAATGATTATCTGGAATTTTAGAAATGTAATACAATGTTATCGTTGATTCGTTAACCGGATATGGAGTCTTATTACGTTTTAAATTTTTTTTTATGAGTAATTGGAAAAAAATGGTGGGAATTCTGATAGAGTTTTGGATTGGATGGAAATTTCCTAAATATGCTATAATTACGTGATTTAAATTTTATTTTTGAATTCATTTATATACAGGGTCTTTAGAAATTCTTCGATCGACTCCAAATCGAAAATCTTAATGTTAAAATGTTGTTCTACTATGTTGCCAAATGTGTTTTTCATGAAGATATTATAATGTAAAAATGTTAAAAACGAACTTAAAGCTAAAGAAAATAACTTTAACAAAAAAAACTAATTTTCAAAATTCTTTTTATTCTACAGTCTTTTTATTACATCTTGTTTTTCAACAGATATTGAATATTAATGATTATTTATGGACAAATTATCCAAATTTTGAAAACCTCATGAAGACCTATTAACATTTTACAATTAAGATTTGTACTTTAGAATTGAACGAAGAATGTCGCTACGTGTACATTATCCGCCAATTTCTAAACACCTGTACATAAATATACAATTCATATATTATATAAATTGAAAAATATTAAACAAGAATTTATTTCGAAATTTTTGAAAATTATATTTATATTAATATTTAATTATAGCAATTGAAAGTAAAGAAAAAAGAATAATTTATTTAAAAAAAGTTAAATATGAAACAAAAGTAATCCATTAAAAGTTGGTCGTTAACACGTCAACGCAACTGTCGGGCAAAATTCCGCTGAAATTCGTCCGACCTATTTTCACAAAATAACAGTACACACTTTCCAAACCGATATTACATCACGACCAGTTTTGTTTTTAATAACTATTCGACAATATACGTAAACGTCACATACCCTTCCTCAAAAACACCCAAATAAAAATCAACAAGAAAACCCCCGAATTGTATTGCACCAAAAAAAAATTCGATTCTACGCGAAAGACGTAATGTTCTTTGAGGGGATACAGAATGAGTGCACTGCACTTTACGCACCAAATATCAACAAATAATACGCGACTTTCGTGCGATGTAATAAAACCTAACCTGAACGTCGATAAAGGAAAAAGTGGGAGCCGTTTCGGAAGTTAACGTTCGAAAATTAGAATACTCACAAGTTCTCCGGGCGTTTTAAGTCACCAAATGGCACACTTTACGTTTAAAAAACACCTGCACACTCTTTGACCGCTTTCCGCCATTCCAGGTTGACCTGCTGAAGGAAGTGGGAATATGTAGACGATATTAGAGGTACGCGTCATCGTTACGACGTCTCTTGTCCTAAATTCATCATATCACATTAAACTATGAACAAACAATTGTATTATTACTCGGTATAAACTTGAAATTATCTCGTTTAAACATTCGAAATTAATTTTCTTATTAATTTTTTCTTGTTTTTTGTTTTATTTTAGCGAAATTTTTGTTCACGCACCCATCTCTACGCAGAATAGGGATTCGTTGTGTATCTTTCACCGGTGTTGCGGTTATTTTACCTTTGGAACAGGTGCGAGACACCTCCTGCTTTGTTTGGTTTACTAGCGACAGGTTTTACCCATTGTAGTAGATTTAATGTTGATATTATACGCTAATGTTTATTGGTCATAAATGTTCACAATTTATTATTTATTTTGGTTTACTCATTGAATTTGTCCTGCTATTCCCGTTTTTTGATAAAAAATTGTACTTGCAGTCATTTTCAGTTCATATAGGCAACCAATGTTGCATGTCAGGATTTTAAAACTTAAGGTTAATCGGCTTTTCCAAACAGTTTGAGATATATGGAAGGACCCTGACGTCATGACGGTCGTGAATCGATTTTTACAATGAAATATCTTATAATTTTTGGTGTTCATCTGAGGAGATTGGCACTCACAACTTCATTAGCACTTGAGAACAGTGATTATTAAATGTTAACACAAGTTAACACAACTTAACCAGAAATAACCCATCTCTAAAGCAAGTCAACTCAACCCGATAGTAGAATATTTAATAGGCTATTGTATGATTTTGTATTCTTTTTGTCATTCTATTATTTTCTTTGCTACAAAGTAGTCCAATAATGTTTTACATTTCTCTCTTTTGGAAGATCTTCCAGTACTATATCTGGTCAGTTAGTTCAAACTTCACCTACAGAAGACAAATTTGCAACATAGAGATACAACATGCTGCTCAAGATCCATAGAGTAACATGGAGTCTAATCTGAATTTATATTTCATTGGAACTTTTGTTTCAGATGTGACTACTGCGTCTGCAAACTTATACTGAGCTAGATAATAGGATTGTTTAATTAACATTCTTCTCCAGGTCTTTGCTGACTGGTTCTTCTAATTTGGAGATTGCTGCTACAACATTGGGTATATTATAAACGTGATGATTCCATACAAATTCGTCCACTAGCGTTCTTTGCTAACTGTAGTGTTTCCATCTGGTGTAAATTTTGTTTTTCTTATTATATGCTGTTGTGATATCAGGGATGGTCTAGTCATATCCTACCCTTCGGAATATGGGAGTGTTTCCGGAATTTAGCACCGTCAAACTGATTCTGGTAGACAAGCCAGCTCCATGAGTTTTGGAGTCAATCTTCCAGCCCCTACCCAATTACCCTGACAATTACATTTTTTGCTACTATTTTAATTCGCTTGTATTATATTAAATTTTTATCTGCGTTTGCTGTAATCCTGAACATTTTGGAACTGTTAGATTCTGATGCATGAGTTAACATTTTGCAAACCACCTCTCCACATAGGTCTATTGCATGTTGCATGTTTGTTACAGTAGCCAAAACATCTATAACATCAACCAACCCAACCTTAATTCTACTTCCTCTTTTTAAGGCCTTTACTTTGTACTCTATAATCTAGAGACGTGGCTGGAATGATGAATTCCGGCTTTCATACCACCTTGTGGGCGGACGTCCAGGAAGCCTGTTTGATCTTGGGATACTATCCATTGCAATTTTCCGCAATCTGTTGTCATTCATCCGCTCAACATGGTCCCTCCATGTGCGACGTCTCGTTCGGGACCATCGGACTATATCTTGGACATCGCAGAGTTCTCTGATGTCTTTACTTCTCTTATGGTCCCTCAGGGTGTAGCCTGGGTCCTCATCTCTGCTGTTCGAATGATTCTTTTTGTTGTAGAGTATTCATGTCATGTATTTGTTTCGCCATATTATATCTCGCAAATACCAAAGGCTATACTTAAGGCTGCTTTGGTTGTCTAAGCCTTATCTTCCTCCTGGAGGTCTCTACTACTTGTGATGCTGACGCCGAGATATTTAAAACTCATGATCTTCTCCACCGGTTTATTATATATCGCCAGTTTGCATCGTCATCATAGTGCTTCAGACTTTGCTACTGATATTGTCATGTGCTACCTGGTAGCTGTTTTTTTAAATTGAAAGAGCATTCTCTGCAGGTTGTCCGCGTCGTCTGAGATCAACACGGCATCGTCTGGGTAGCAGATTATCGTTAGTTCTTTGTTCCACAATGTGTATTCCTTTCCAACCTTGTTTATTTCAGTTATTAGTTCATCCATAATCAGATTGAAAAGGGTAGGGTTTAAGCTGCCGCCTAGTCTTATTCCTCATGCATTATTCCTCATCATCAGGTATTCTTCGTGTCTTTCTGCCTTTCACTTGAATTTGGGTCTAATTGAAATGTTTTTTATATCTGCGTGTACGCTGTTTTGTTGTGTTTTATAGATTTTTCTACGATCTGTCTGATTGCAAAGATGACGTCTATAGTTGACCTGTTCTTCCTAAAGCCTTGCTGCTCTTCACTTAACCCATGAGAAGATATTTCTTGTTCCAAGGTTTTTGTGAATAGCTTTAGCACTGAACCTAATAGCGTGATTATCCGATAGTTTGCTGGGTCTTTTTACTGTCTTTCTTAAATACTGGAATGGACACACTTTCTTTCCATTCCGTTGGTATTCACCTGCACTCAAAAAGTCGGTCTTTGCCGCTAAACACATTTTCCGTTTCTTGTAATACTCATTTTGTGTCAACAAACAATTCAAATACAAAAATTGCAAGTTGAATGGAATGCACGCTAATTATGCAGTTTTATTCCAGTGAAATTCTTGTTATTAACAATTTAAAAATGCAACTGTAATAAAGAAGAATAAAATAGCAAGAAAAGCCCAATATCTTCATTTTTATATACATATTTCGGGCCAGCATAGCGTCATCCACTTAAGTATATGGACTTGTAGAGGGAATTTTGGTCAAATAGATATAATATAGGTAGTCGAACTCCATCTTGATATTGGTCACATTTAAATGTACATAGGCAACTAAAGTGGCAAGAAACTAATTGATTTGGTTGTTAATGTATTGAATTACTTGCCATGAATTCTTAATTGTCTCTTTAAAATGAATTGGAATGATTATGATGATGGAGGTTTGAAAGAAACATTTAAAAAATTTTGGTAAATACTTTTGCATTTATTAAACGAGTATTATTACTGAATAAAACAAAGAAAATATATGTACATTTTAAAAAAAGTAAAACAATATACACAATAAATTTATATATTAATATATACACACATAAAAACTTCTTTTTTCGCGATTTTATGTATAATCGTGGCCGATTATAGTCACTGGTTTTTTTTCCAATTAATTTTTCTCTTTTAATTTCCGAAAAATGCTAGTGCGGGCCGCCACTAGTTGCGGGCCCCACAACAATTGCACATAACGATTAGACATTACGAACTAATAATAAAGATGTAAAAGTTACAAAGTATTGCTTTCGTTATTTTTCACGTTTTTGAAAAAATATCACTTACACTGCTCGGCTGGTACTCGCCCGTTTTATTTTTTCCCCACACGATTTTTACCTGACTATATACAGACATTCCGTTCCAAATTATTCAATATAAAAAAATCGTCTAAAATAGTATGAGAGAGGGCTTTTCTCTTTTTCGACACAATGAAATAACTGCGAGGGATTAAAATTAAGAAATCGATTAGATGATCTGTTCTATATAAAAGATATCTTTTTTATACAAGTTTATATCTACATATAAATAAATTAAAAACTAAACCTACACGCATTTCTTTAGGTTGAGAAAGAGAAAAACGGGAAAGAAATTCATTTATCATTACAACAGCAGTGTACAAAGTTACGACAAATCTATGGAGCGAGATGAATATGATAGTTTGGTATTTTTTTTTCTTTGGGGGATAGAGAAAGAGAGAACTATGATTACATTTTTTTTCCACACAGAGTTACGACTGATTTGCTATTCTAATGATCCATGGACCTCAAATGTATATTTTACGATAATTATGTTATGTCGGCCCCATCTAAACCGTATCAAATAAGCAACAAGAAGTCCTAAAATGAAGACGAAATGAGTCCGAATATATATTTATATATATACAACTATTGACTACGATAATAATGTGTTCGGATTTTTTATTTCACTTTATCTTAATAATCAGTCAGTTCTATAAGGAATCACAAAATAAGATTAATCAAGCTAACTAATATCTACCCGTTTGATTATTACATACCGAAGTTGAATAATCAAATCGCACTCTTACTCTCTGTCTTTACCATATAAAAAGCTTCTGATATATATACACACTTGTTCTTAATATTGCATTACTGTATTTAAGTTTTTTTTTCATTCTCCTAAGGAAACGAACTATTTAAGTGCAGTCTCTGCGAAGTTTTCTTTGCCTTATGAGTACTCGTGTACCCTGTACCTTTACCGATTAGCTTTTTATGTTATTTATTTTATTTTAATTTTTTTTTTCACTTAAAGATAGGCCCTTACATGATTGCTTATACACAATATAGATATAATTTCTTCATTTTTTACTCCTTGACAAATGGACAGTTTACATTTGAATGTACAAGTCTTTTTTTGTTCATTATTTTTTTTTAATCGTTATCAAAATATTTAGAGCCGCGTCTCTCTTCTTAAAAAATAATTTCTCCTTAAACTAAGAAAACGACTAGTTCAGATTTGATGACAAATGGCACAATTCGAGGTGTCCTAGCGAAGTCACGACTCGTGGCGGTGTTGCCGTGATCTTCTTAACCCGCTCTTTCGTCTTTTTCGTTTCGCATCTCTTTGAAAGCCAACGTTACCCGGATCGTCGGCCAATTGTGAGTATTTCTGTGTGTTATGGATGGCTACTCCTTCGTAACCATCCACATATCCGTGAGATATCAATTCCTCTTTTTCTTCTTCAGTCCATTCTCCGCGACCTTGAAAACCAGCAGCAACTAATTGTTTTTCTCTTTCCCAAGCTCTCTCCACAGCACGTTTATGTGCATGCTTTAATATCCGCGATCTTTCTTGATTTGGATCCGCTCCGTATTTGATAATTACAACAGCATCAGGATTATGCAATCTTAATTCTTTTCCTGTTCCATGATCGGTGGTTTCGTGGGTGGATACGTTAAACATCCCACCGAGCCGTTTTAATTCTTCTAAATCATCTCTGATTTTTAAAACGTTGTCTTTAACGAAATAGAAAACATCTTGATCGTGGATACTAAAGTGTAGGTCAAGGAAGAAGGAGTTATTAAAGACTGAGGTGACGACATCTTGTACGACACCGTTTACATTTTCTACAACGCTAACTAGGGCGCGATCGCTTACTCTTGATATTAAAACACCTTCTCCAAAGACTGCCTTACGATAAGCTACTCTTGGAAGGAGATTTCGAGTTTTTGGTTCCATTTTTAATAAAGGTTTTGGAATGAAACCTAAATCTGCGAACTTTTCATTCACCTAAATAAATTTTAAAAAAATTGTAATTCCTAATATTACTACTACTATTATTCTTACCTTTTCAACTATACATTGTAACCCTGACATAACTCCAAAATCTGGTGCTAATTGTCGTGATGTAACCGTAGCTTTGGGTCTATAAATCATCTTGCTAATATATTCAGACCCCATCATCTTTTTAACATCATATCCATACAATTTCATCCAACTATATAAATCTGTCATATAATTAATGCTCATTTTATGATTGATTGGGTCGTTATTTTGGAATCTATAGATAAAAACGTCTGTTGGTGTCGTTAATTTCGTTGCTAGTTGCTCCCAAGCTGGAGTCATCCATTGTCCAACAACAGGATCATATAATCTCTTATGTAGATAAACTAATTTGGTGTTAGGGTCATAAATACCGCCGTGAAAATCAACAGCTAAGTAGAAATTGGGATTTGTGTCCATGAGGATTGATCCAAACGGAGTTCTTCGCATTTCTTTAATTAAGTTTCCGTTAATATCGAAAAGTGCTAATGGCGATCCATCTTGATCGGTTGCCACGTAAAATCTTTGTTCTGCAGTTTCAACAGTGATAATAAAATCTCTTTCATCATATAAATAACGGAATGTATGGCCAGTTTTGGGGAAATGCACGTGAGTTACTAAATCTGGTGTGCTTGGATTTGAATAGAAGAATTGTGTGATATTTCCGTGTTCGTCATTCCAAGCTATCATTCTACCCCTATCATCATAATAATACCAAGTTTGGAACTTGTCTCTTTCATAAGCATGGATTAGTTGTCCTCTGGTGTTGTATCTATATTTTTGTTCACCTCTGCGAATAACAAATCCGCGATTATCGTAATTTGTAAATTCAACGTCTCCATATTGAACGACTCTATCACCGCTATCATAACCCAAGGTGATTTTTTCTTTTCCTTTGATTATTCCAATAATATTTCCATTTTCATCATATACATATTTCCAACTACTCGTTCCTATTACTTCCAAAACGTGTCCATCAGCATTGTAATTAATTCGATCCATACTAGATGATTTTCCAATAAGTAATTTTTGCATACTAATTCTACTGCGTTTGTCATATTCTAATTCCAATCTGAATACATCGAACGATTTGATATTAATTAAAATCGATTTAGTCCTACCATGCTCATCATAGTCCATGATTGAAAAGAATTGTTTGCTTGTATCTTGCATAACAGATCTATTGAATGTATTTCTATAAATCCTCAAATCGTTTATTCCTTCTAAACTTCCCAAATTTTGATTGTATTTCAATCTCAAAGCTGGCATTTCTTTTCCGTTTATATCAACCTCAACTGCTGATAATCGGGCGTTTCCATCGTAAGCAAATTTATAATGGGCATTATTTAAACTTGTTTTTCCGTTAAATTTGAGCTTTTCATCTTTTAAAATACCACCATGGTATTTAAATTCGTCTTTTAATTCAAAATTGGGTTCGACGATATCTACGCTTTTCACCAAACTTGATGGTTCGTGGTAAATGTAATGGATTGAATTTAACCCAGCTAAAGATGTTTCTAATTTTCCTGATGAATCGTAAACGTAAGCTACTCTTCCTGATTGATGTGGATAAACTTTAGCTAGGATTTGACCGTCATCATTATAAATTATTTCGTAGGGATGACGATTCATTGGTGAGAAATATTGGTATTTGAAAAATCCTAATGATGTTTGCAAGGAGAAAGTGTGAATGTGTCCACGTGGTGTTGTTAAAGATTGGAGAGCTCCTGCATCATCATATTGAAGAAGATAATCTGATCCCCTCGGTGTTGTTACTTTTAATGGCTAATAAAAGAAAATAATTATTAAATTAAATCTAAATTAAATTAGTATTTTAACTTACCAAACTACTAAACATATCTTTAAACGCATAAATCATAGAAGAACCATCTCCGTATTTAATTTCATTTAATCGCCCAGCATGATCAAATCCATAACTTTCATTAAGATCTCCCCATTTCCAACTAATAAGTCGACTAAAACGATCGTATTCCAACTCAACTTCCGCAAAGATCCCATTTCTAGGTCCCCATTTAATAGGTCGAGCTGTTCTATCGTACGTAACATTTAACAATTCAACCCTATCATCCATAAAAACTGAAACGGAAGCCGATTCGCGATCGTATTCCAAAGTTAAAAGATTTTCGCCGTTAATTCTTAGTTTTCTTCCAACTTGGGCGATGGTTTTCGGTGAGTTTTTAGATTTTCCATTTTGAATTCGCCTTAAAAAGTACCTCCATTCGAAACGATTCGCTAAATCGCCGCCGACTTCTGTTCTTTGTTTCGCCGGAATTGGGTAACTTTCTCCCAAAAGCGGATCGATTTCACTCAAAACCGAATAAGGAACTGTATCAGTTGTTATGGTGTGTCCCCATGAAGATGTTGTTTCGACAGCCCCATTTGGAAGGAGAATAGTTTTTTGTTCAGATTCTCCAATGCGATTTAAAACGACAGATCCTTTAATTAACATTGAATCGGGGTTTTTGGAGTTTTGCCAAATCTTTACAGTCGCACCTTTTAACGAGAGATCAAAGGATAAACTTATAACTTTTCCAGTTGGAGTTACAGCAGATGTAAGTCGTCCAAATTCGTCGTAATTATAGACGTAACTTCTTCCGCTACTATCTATTTTTGTTTTTAATAATCCAGATTGTCCGTGGTAATCGAAAGTGACGTTGTAATTATCTGGTGTGCTTAATTCGTGCAGCATTCTTAATCGTGACATTCTTAATCTACATTTTTGTCCTTTGGTGTTTTCGATTGAATTAACTTGACTTGAATAATCTCTTAATAAAAATACTTTATTTCCAGCGGCGTCTGTTACGGTGCTTAATTTTCCGTTGCTTGTATTGACGTTGTAAGTAAAGAGGTAATTTGTTTCGCCGGTTAAAATATTTTTGGTGGCTATATGTTGACCGAATCGATTGAAAATATAAATTTCTTGCGTTTCTGGTGAGAAAATTTCGTATTCTCTTGATGTACTCGCATCTGGAATACTAGCCATTACGGATCTTATACGATAATTTGCTTGATCTCCGATGTGTACGTTTCCATCTGGACTAACAGCAACTGCAGAAATCGTATTAAATTTCGAGTTGGAAGCTAAGAAGTGATCAGCTTCGAAGCAATCGCACCCCCGTTCTAAACAATTACATTTCGATTCGGCTCCGGCGTATGGCGATATTTTCCCATCAGTTCCGATAACTCGTATCCTGTTTATCCTTTGAGAATCACTTTCAGCTACGTACAAATCACCCGCGGCGCTAAATCCTATACTTTGAGGCATAACCAACGTTGCATGTGTAGCCAATTCCATGTCATAACCAGTTAAAGGAGATGCACAATGAAGCGGTCTACCCGCTATAACTTTTACTCGTCCATCTGGAGTTAATTGCAAAATCATGTGATCATCAATGATGTGTAATGAATTATCTAGGGGATTTATAGCTAATTCTGTTGGCCATCTCAAATGCACTTCTTCGATGTTTAACGTTCCTTCACAAGGAATTGGTTTCCAATGAGATTTATGCATGTGATTTCCAATAACTGTTGTAACAATTCCGTCGCGGTCGACCATTCGAATATTAGTTCCATCAGCAAAATATAAGATGTTGTCGTTAGAAACAGCTACTCCTTTGGGGTAAGCCAATTTAGCGTCTCTTGCCAAAGCACCATCCCCACAATGAGCCTCATCACCCGGAAGACACCTTTCTCCAGATCCTACGACCGTTTCCCAATTCCTATCGGGGTCTGTGTAATCACTTAAACTTTTAACTTTTATGATTTGGTGCGATTCTGGGTCGGATATGTACAAAACACCGTCTAATGGACTTAAAGCCATGTGATAACGATACGACACTCTTGTAGAACTAAAAATGAAAACCAATTAAATTTTAATTATTAAGGGGGAGTTAAAAACTTACTTTAATCTAACTATTGTCCTCACTGTTCCATCAGTAAGAATTTTTCTTACTAAATTAAAATCGCCCACAAATAACGAACCATCGGGAGCCGCTGCTAAAGCAACTGGCGCAAGAAGTCGTTGTTTAGAGGCTTGTCCTTCGAAATCTGTAGAATCTAACGGTCTTTGATGACCATCCCCCATCGTAGTTAAAATAACGCGCGGTTTATGTTTGAGATATATATTAGATCCATCGCCTTTTTGTAAGATACCTACATAATAAAATTTTATTTAACAAAAACCTTTAAAACTCATTAACCGTTTGTATTACCTTCATGGAAATTATATCTATGATGAATATCTAAATTCCAACCACCAACCTCAGATATACTCATATCATGCCCGCTTAATTTAGTCGTTTGAACGTCCCATATAATGTCTTTACAATCAGAATATTCATATCCAACTTTAACAATAGCTGTGGTTACTCCATAAACCCTTTGTCTATACACGTTAGTTCTATTCCATGCGTACGTAAATTTAATAATAGGATCAGCCTCGAATGTTTTCTCAAATAAAATCCCTTCAATGGTAATTCGCAAATGAATCAAATATAAAGTCGGTGGTATACTTTCGGGTGTTAGTTGTAATTGGATCGTAGATAAATATCCCGCCGCTCTCGAACTGTGATAAACTAAATTTAAGCCGGTTCCGGGTATTTGTAAGCTCTCTTGAACGACTTGGGATTCGGCTAAAATAGCGCTTTTATCCGGACAAGCTCCTTGAAACCCATGCTTCCAAGTGGCTAAAACCACGGGTTTCATGGTGTCGTAGTCGTGAGGTAAACAAGGTGTTATAATATGTGATAACGTTCTTTCTTCTCCAGTTACCATTACAATGTTATCGATGATAATAACTTCGTTCCATGGTACAAAAACGATGTGGCTTTGAGCTCTAAACGGACTCCTACCGAATTGTAACGTAACGGCGCCTCCACCATTTACTAGGAGATCAAACCAACCATCTTCGCGGGTTAAAGTGAAACCTTCTAATGGTGTGCTAGTACTAACGCGAACCCCCATTAATCCTTTAGCCATTTGAGTGGTAACGCGTCCTCGAACAACAGCAGATCGGCTACACGACACAAAAAAGCTTTAGATTATTGTAATTAACTTTTTGGTAAAAAAAGGTAGAAGTAAAAGGAAAGGTGCTGCTAAATACGAATGGCGAACGAATCATACGAAGCCAAATAAAATAGACGAACACATTGGATATAAAAATAAAAACGCAAATCAACCAGGCGGATGTGATCTAGTAGAACGCCATCGAAATCTTACCTTGTATTAAAATGATTCCAGAAAACACTGCGCAGCATGGAAAAGTAGATTATTACATCAATGAATTATTTCGAATGGCTGCTTGTTGAAATAGACACACGTAAATGAAAGATTGTAAGGTTTTTTTGATATGGTTACACTTTCGGTCTATGTTAACAAGCATGTGAAGCACAAGAAGAGGTCACACAGAGAACATTTAAGTTAATGGGGAGACAAATCGACACGGGGGCACAACAATGCAGCTATATCTCTGGTGATACATTAACAGTTTCTTCAGAGAACATATATTGTGAAAAAAATAAAATAATTTTTGAATAACAAAAATACCTCTCATTGAAGGTCTCTTGTCTGGCGTAATTTTGTAAACTTCCTTCATCAATTAAGAATTTCATTCTTTCAAAGAATGAAGCTGTGATCGCTGGCGGCTGCTTTCTTAACAAAATATCGGTTGGTTTTGGTGCTGATACACACAATTGGCTCGTTCTACACGCTGGGTTTAAACAACATTCAGGGTCTTGACAGTCAATTAATCCATCTAAAAAATTTAATTTAAAATATAACTTCTTATAAAATAAAAAAATTATGTTTACCTTTATCATTATCCCTATTATCCTCACAACTTTGTTCAAGTAATACACTACAATCTCTTCCATCCCACCCATGATCGCAATTACAGTACCAAGCTCCTTCCAAAGACATTTTACAATGTCCATGGTTTGAACAACTATTCGGGCATCCTTCCATGGTGCAATGTTTTCCATTCCATCCAGTGACACATAAACACGTTCCGTTTTTACATTGACCATGTTCGTTACATCGAATATCACATTGTTTTAAGTTGCAGTATTCCCCAGACCATCCAGGATCGCATTGGCACGATTCTGAAACGCAATGTCCGTGTTGTCCGCAATCCAAATCGCAAAGTTCTTTAGAGCAATCATCTCCGGACCAACGAGCTTCGCAAGTGCACGTTTGCGTATCTAAATCGAACGTCCCATGACCTGAACAATCCGGAAGACACTGTAAAGCGTCTTTATCCATTTGGCTGCAATCCACGCCTTTCCATCCTTTTTTGCATATGCAAGTTCCTTCCAAGCAATATCCGTGTGCGTTACAGGTTGGATGAGGACAGTCAACTTTATAATAAATGTAAATTTAATTAGAATATTGAACATATTGAGATTTTTTTTGTAATTGAGGTTAGTACATAAAGAGAAATAAATTTTGTTTATTTGTACCTTCTTCGCAAAATTTGCCTTTATAACCTCGAACGCATTGACATTTTCCGTTCGAGCAATGACCATGCCCATTACAATCAGGTACCTCACATTCGTCATGCCTTAAGGAACATTCCTTGCCTTTCCATCCGGGATTGCACTGGCATTCTCCGTTAATGTACTCTCCCCTTTGACTGCATAGAACCGGGCAAACACCTAATAAAAGGTAACATGCATAAGCTCAACCCGGTTATTGGCCACATTGAGGTGTTAGAAGTAGTTTGTGTTTATGGTTAGTTTGATCGTAAGTGTAACTTAGAGTCACTTACTTTCGCTGCAATCGTCTCCTCCAAAACCGGGATTACACTGACAATGGCCCATTAGACATTCCCCTTTTCCGCTACAACCATTAGGACAATTGTGGGTCATATCGTCTGCTACTGCTGCAACGAAACTGATTTCTTGTGGATCGCCGTCGTCGTTATACAATGATAGGAACCAATGACCTTGCTCCATGTAATGGGTTACTTCTTTCTTCACAGAAGACTAAAATAATAATAAATTAAATTAAAATATAACTTTATTAAAAATTAGAATTTATTGATGAACTTACATAAGACGCTCGGGTAGTTCGAGCTTTAAATCCACTAAGGACTTCCAGAATATGATACTGGGTGTGTGTGGGAAGGGCATTTCTTCTGGCATATACACCTATACTCGCACCTCTGGGAATGTTATAATCAAATTTGACATAAGCAGCTTCGGACTGGTAAAACTGCATGTTCCAATAACCATAGGGTGGAATTTCTTTAGATAATCTTTGCCCCAACGAAATTTGAGCGAATGTTGTGCCATCCGGCGGAAAAGATTTTGCAGGAAATGTCCTTGCGCCTGTTTAAAAAATCTCCATTAACAAACTTATTTTTATTTTACTAATTCTTGTTTAAGCATTAATTTTAATTAAATAAATTAAGTTATTAGTACGCTAAAGCTCTAATGTGCTGAAATCTAAATAAAAAGTGATATCAGGTCAAAGCGGTTTCTTGATCATTCTGCTTTGATTTTCAGGGGGATTAATCCGTAGGCGTTCAGCGTTAGTCGGCGAAGGCAAAAGTGGCGTCGATTTATCGTACCTTCGAGGATCAGAATGGTTGGAGGTGGAGGTGTAGTGGTCATATCGGAACATGAGGACCATGTTGTCCACTCCGTAGTGGTGGAAGCGGCTTCGGTGGTTACCTCTGTCTCATTTTCTAATAAAAAGGAATTGTTAATCGCGTCGTAATCGAGAGCGATCTCTTTAGAGTAGTCCTTCTTAAAAAAATCGGGATCATCCATGCACGGGCAAGAGCATTGGCATTCGCCGCCCCATCGGTCGGAAGACTCTATCGGGGTTTCTTTTATAGGATGGTCAAGCTTTGTTAAAGCTGAAGGGATCAGATGAACGTCGGAATTATGGATGACGTCCGGGTTTTCCTTGGAATCCGTGGGGACGGATACGGAAAGAACGTAGACGTTTTGGGATGAGGGGTTTTTGGAGTCAGGATCGGTTGATATTGTAACGTTAACAGTTATTTTCTTAGAAATTTGATTTTTGATAGTTGGGACGTCGATGTATTGAATAGAAGGGGGTTTAGTTGGGGTGTTCACATCAAAATCATGCACCGAATTAGTTTCTACAAATTTTTTTGGATTCATTTTAGATTCAACGTTATCAAGAGCAGAAAGGTTAAGATCTGTTAGTTCTTTAGAAAGATCGTGTGCGATGTTTGGTTTTTCGGTAACTTCGTTTAAATCGTCCATTAAAATCGTTGTCACATCATTTTCTTCGGTGCTTATTGTATTTAAATTTTCCCATTCCGAATCTTCTTCTTCAGGAATGAATTCGTTGAAGATATCTTCTACGGTTGGAATGGAGGCATCGTCGTCTTCGTGGGTAGTTTCTTCTTCGCTATTGATGATTGTGGTGTAGTCATGCAAAGGTGCAGAAGTATCATGCTCGATAGTTGAAAATGTGGAACCGTTTAGATCGGAATCATCATGCCTGTTATTCACATCTCTACGTTTTCTAGCTACAACTCCGTAATTACCTCCGCTACTACTGCTCGGCCTGGGTTTGCTGGATGTCGACAAGTTGGTTTCGGATGTTGTGGCCTTCGGTGCTAAAACCTCCGTGTTCTCGTCCACCACCACTGTGCAGGCGTTGGAGTTTTGATATGACCAGTTCAGCACGCCTGACACTGGAATTTTTGAAAGGGGGGTTAATTAGAACAGAGAACGGCCGAAACGTTCGAGGTATAATTAATTTCTTCGTTATGCACGGCCTAATTGTTAGGTTCAGACGGGTTCAATTTGTTCCGCATAATTTTGTAAATTGTTACCTTACAATAGGGCGGACCAGGTTTCTTCTGGCGGACAAGCGTAATGGCTTTGTGTGCCTTTGTGGACTTAATGAGCGGTTCTTAGCGTGTAGATGTGTTTTGATTAGGAGTGTTTTTATTTTCCTTTGTACTAGGAATATTTTTATATGGGGAGTGGTTATTTTTGGATTGCTTTGTTCGTTTTAATAATAAATATGACAAAAAAACATTATTATTATAAAAACTAAATATAAAATTTTTATTTGGTTTAAAAACATATTTTCGAATTAAAAACCCAAATAACATCTCTATTTTTCTTTTTTTTTTCAATACGGATTCCCATAAATATTTAACGATGCCATTAGAGCCCATCGAATAACGAGCCATTTTTTTTTGATCACACTAGAATATCAACCACCTGTCAAATCTGGGGCAGGCATTAAACCGGGGTGTTAACTTTTGGATAGTTTCCTATCAACGCTTTTAAAAATTTATAGCTAACACAAAGATTTGCGTTGTTATTTGTCCACGGTAATAAATCATACGATAAGGTTTTATAGCCATCTATAAATAACGAAATGAAATCATTGCTCCTTAATTGGCATCAATATAATTGTAAATGTATTATTATTGTTTTAGTTTTAATCTAAGAAAAAAACGTTTACCTAAAATGCAAGCAATTGCGGCGATCATGATGAAAGATACGATCATAAGAGCTATGGCGGTGCATTTCCACGTGCACTTCGACGCCAGACCTTTCCTAAAGTGGAATCTGCTTCCGGGAGGGAAATGGCTGGATGCAGGTCGATGTAAGTTGTTTCGGACTGGCAAAACGGGAACGGGTGTTCCATACGGGATTGCTCCTAGCCTGTCTGGATTTTTGATGTCCTTGGAAGGACTGCTGCAGGACGAATTCGACTTATAGTCCATGGTGGTATTCTTCGGATGATCTGAAACGAAAACAATCGGAATAAGTTGTCGTTTGAAAGATTCGAAACATGAGACAGTCGATTTCCAACGGAAATTGAAAACATCTCTGGTCGTGATTTTAAATTGAAAACTGCTTAGTTCGACCGAAAGACTTAATTACTTTTATGTCATCCACGATACATACTACAAAGTTAATTAAATGATCCTCAATAACAAAAAGCAACTACTAAAAATAGATTGAATTTATCTATTCCATAATGACATGAATTCAACACTCGATTTTTGCGTACGTATCTAGAAGCAGTTGTGACAACTGTTCTGGCATCCTGTTTGTTTATGTAAATCGCACGAATGTAGATCGAAAATTGTCACCATCACAATGGACATTACGAGAGAGAGCGCATAGTTTATCGTCGCTATGTGTTATCATCTCGCGAAGGACGCGTTTTTACAATTGAAATCTGTCAGCGCCGGATACGGCAATTTCCTATTTTATTAATTAGACTGATTACACTTATCTTGCCGCAGACGCACACCCGGGGAGCGCTGTTTTAACGAAACTGCAACCATGTTGCGTAAAAGGAGACTGATTTCTAGTGAGTCACCGGACTAAATTTGGTCAATTGTATGCGTTAATTAATACAATTGGGTCGGAGGCGCGTAGACCACACATAAAATATTGGTTACTACATTTACACATCGGATTGGGGATGTTGACGTAGTTTTAGAATTATGTATGAGGTTACCAATATTTTTTCAACGTTATTGAATAATGTCAACATGATCGCGTATTAATAATGAATTAATGTTTACGTAAACTTCAGAGGCAATAAAAGTCAATTTTGCGCTCGGGAGTTGTGTTTTCCCGATAACGCGAACGTTGTTTAGGTTAAAACCTGCACGTACATTCAGTTAAAAACGGACGCAACCTTAATATTTGCAGTTAATTACGTAGGTGTTTGCAAACTGCCGCGGCGAAAAGCGACGGTATCGCATTAAACAAAACACGGACCCGTATTGCGACAACAGACGCAGCTGTTACGTGGTTTTGAAGTTTTCAAACGGCTGAAACGGCCAATGTGGTACGTGTTGGGTTTTGTCGAAATGGATAAACACGAGGACGGAGATATTCGTTTTTGGACGATCGACGTTTTCCTTGTTTTTTATATCGTATTTCATTCACGTTTCGTTTTCTATCTTCGATCGTCAGCATGAATGAACCCGTTCAGTTCACATACATCGGGGAGTTGTAAACACTGTAAACAAACACCATATGGCTGGCCGCTTAAAAAGAACCGCTTAATCACTATACCCTACTTATCAATTGAAAATCAGAGAGATTTTTGCTTGTTCGTAACAACTTATGTAAATATTTGTTCGATTAAGTTTTTTTAATGAACTATTTCGTTTCAAACTCGTCAATATGTAGTTAATATATTATTCAGGCAAGATATAAAATTGGGGGGACAATAAAGGGGTCTATTTTAATCTGACCTAAATGTCGTTCTAAGCAATATCGATTCGGGGTTGAGTTTGAATTAATTATAGGGTTGCATTTACGTACATTTAATCCAACATGACGTTTATCATATTAAAGCGAAGGGAAGCATTAATGAAATAAAAAAATGTCTATCAAAGAGAAATGTTTTATGTATGTTTATGCGGATTAAAAAGAGTTTTTGTGAAGGTTTTATGTAATTACCAGAGATTACATCATAACTTTAATTTAAAAAAAACTAAATGTTATTTTTTAACAGAAACATCAAGCATTTGTGTTTATTCTTATAGCTAAGATAAAGAATTTATGTCATTTGGGTACATATTTAATTAACGATAAGATTTTTATTTAAAATATCCAACAAGTTAAAATCCTAATTCTTAGATAACATAAAATGAATTTATAAATCCATAATAAGTTTTGCGTTTCCGTTAGATACCATATACGTTTTATGTACCCACACACACTTACTTAAGTAGTGGGTGAAAATACGAAATGTGAGCGTAGGTGGGCTTATTATTATCGATAACGCGTAGTTATGAAATTTTTTGAAGTTTAGAGGCGTGGGAAAGAATGTGGTACCTAAGCCTTTGAGGGTTCCCTTGGTAAAGATTCGTGATCACAGCGAGTCACGAACAAGTTTCAACTATAATCTTATCTAAATTGCTTCTTTGTCATGCCTAATTATTTAAATGAGCTTTAGGATTTTCGCTCGGCCAAATAAGGATCCGGCGTGCGCATCTGCTGGACTAACTGCGAGATTTAAACGGCTCGCAAGTTCTAACTCGCATATGAGATGGTTGAATCGGCGCGTTTGAATGCCGATTTGAATTCCAGAATGTTTGCGGAAGTTAAACATTTACTCAAGTCCTTATTTACCTCTTATAATGTACATATCCGAATCGAGATGATAAATAAAAAAACGTTATTTAAATATATTTAACACACAAGGAAAACTCAACACAGATTTTATTTTTTTTTAATCACAAATAATTTTTGCAATAAAACACAGCACTTGGTTCACATTGAGAATCATATCACACTATCAGTTCTTTAACGCAACAACGTTCCAGGCGGAAAGGTGAAGATATCGAACCGTTCCATCCTCACAGGTCGAGGTCCCGCTGTCGACTGGCTTTCGTGGATTCCCTCCGGAGTTTGGACGTGCCCGTCTGCTGTCCCTCTCTTTCCCATCTTTATCCCACCCCTTTTTCAGTCGACGGCCTTTTGTGTCATCTTCGCCTTGAAATCCGCCCGGACCTTCTCTGTCGTGGGGCTCTCCTCACCATTTGTTAGAAAAATTACGTGTAGCCTCCGATTTCGACCAGATATGCGATTGACAAGGCGTTGGAGGCGAACGGAATCGTCAAAAAGACCGATTCTCTTGTCAATTTTCCCCCTAAATACTCCACGGATCCTGAAAAACCCTTACAACATAACGCGTTTTGTGAAGGACAGAAACTGAAATTCTGACGAGACAAAGACTTCGAAGATTTTTCGTTCTTTCTTTTATTCAGTTCATCTTATATTTTTTTTTGGATTCGAGAGAAGTCCGTAATAAATTATAAGATTTTTTGGGTTATTTTTCATTTTCTCTTAAAATAGAGTTAGAGATTTAGGAAAAATTTGATTAGATATATATGATATTGTTTAATGTTGTGCTGTAATTCGTTGTTCGTATTTGTTGCCACGAAGAGGTTTAGTCGTAAACTTACTAAGGGTGCCTCCCGGAATGTAAACGTTTCCCGAGGGTGTACGGACGAGGCAGGAGGGTTCGAAGTCTTGGCCTGGATCTGGAGGCGGGGCAGTTGCCAATCGGCCGTTCAGCCTGCTCATGGTTGGGTTGCGCGGGGGCACATCTGGCGGCCTACTGGTGGCGCTGTCTAACAAGCAACCTAGAACAACCAAAAGAACCACTCTGTACACTACTATTTGGTGTTAAAAGAAATTTTGTTGATATGTATTCGGTCGCCAAATCTACCTAAAGTTTTTTTAACGGATGGAGGGAAAGAAAGGGTTGAAGGGAGTTGTAATAAAAGGTTCGTGGATCATTACGGTGCCACGGTCACAAAACCGGAACGGCTTTTTTGTTCTTTTTGCCCCGTTTTCGCTTTCGAGTACATGGGGTGGGTTTTTTTAGACCGATGTTTTTACCGAATTAATGCAGATGGCAACGCAGGGACTTGTAATTTTGTTAACATCCTTCGGTGGGCACCCTCTGTGTGCTTTTTATTTTGTAAAGTCGCTGCACGTAGCTTTCCACCATTAAGATCTACTTCCGTTCGACCTGCCTATGTAATAAATAATACACGGCTGGTTAATAATTTTACCAATTTAAATAAAACCTACATAAATATCGGTTGCACTCCGGATATCGGAAATATACAAGCGTCAAACTGAGTTTAATAAACATGTTTCGATTAAAAAAAGAACAAGCTGAATTGAAAATAAACTTTCTCCAACACAATCCATCAATTTGACGTGTTTCTTCTACGATCGCGCGCAAAGACAATCGACAATATAAATTATTATACGTAATGGTTTTTTCTTATTGAAATCGCGGCCGATTCGAATGATTTATCGAGAAACAAGCTCGCCTCTATATTTGGTGGCGAACGATCGGCAAACAGACAGATAAACAACGCGCTGATCACGTGATGGCGGTCTATTCCCGGTGTTCAGTAATAAACGACCTATCGAATCGAATTAATTCATTCCCAGCTTTAATTACCTTTGTTCTACCGCTGTTTCATTAGCCAGACCGTATGTGGAATGGTACGCGGACGTTTTCGATAAGGACGAACGACGAACTAAGTGGAAACGCTGGGAAAGAAAAAGGCCGGATTACATTTGTTCTCGTCGCTTTTATCTCCAATCTTCCAACTGGTACTTGTACGCAACAGTAGCAGGAATATCCTAAGAGCAAGATTAGTTTTTTTTATGTTGGCTGAGTTAAGAGTGTTTTGAAATCCTGTCTAACGATTCCAACTCGCGTTATTGGCCATGTCGAGAGTGGAGACCGATATCAACACCGGATCTGTTCTTTGTCCTCTTCCTTTATCTGGGACGTTCACTTAACTCTACGCACAAAGACACGCAGCTAAGAATACTTTATGGCCTTATATTTATCTGAAATTACGGACCATGTTTCTGTTATTTTCTTTTGGTATATCTTTGTAGTTTATCTATTCATTTCTTTGTTTGTTAACATCAGCCCAATCAAAGATACTTTTCGAAAAATCTTAACAATAATCAAAGAATAAAGGAGTGTTTATTTTTTTTGCGAGTGAGTGATTCACTAGCACCTTTTTCGTCGATTACAGCAAAGACGTTTTGGTAAAACGGTCGCGTGCACGTTCGGAAACGGATTTTTTCAATGGCGAATTAAAAATGCGACTCGCGTCGCAGCCGCTCCGACTCGTGTCCGTGTCAGGGAGTTTTTCCCGACGAACGATAGAATATGCGGGGGGCACATTAGCATATAAAGCACGGTCATCGCTTCCAAATCAACCGTTTGACGTTTTTTTCGCTGTTTCCACATCTGCTAATCGATCGGCAACGAACGACTTTTTTACAACACCAAATCGTATTGTCACAGCGACCTCTAACGAACAAAGCAGTGTTTAAAACTCTATTAACTGGTTATTTTCAATCAGACCCATTTTCAAACAAGTCCCCTTCCGATAAAATTCAATAACGAGCCGAGATTATTTAAGTCCTTATCAATTAAGTAATCACTTCACTAAATTTTATTCTTGAGAAAGCTGTCACATAAACGTCTCGTTATCGCTTAATTAGTTGTTTATCTAAGATTGTAAGGAATTCCATTCAATTTAGTTGTAGGGAATATATGTTAGGGGTCTACTTTCTTGGGGGCAATTGAGTTTTCGCGGGATGAAGTCGGATCGGTTAGAATAACGTCGTCTTCCTCGCAAAGTGGCGCGTGTTTTCGTTCAATTTCTGTTTGAAAGGAGCAAAGTGCATCGGGCAAACATCCCATCTATATATATTTTTCTTGCGGCTTATCGGCCCGAACGACGGGGTGGGCCTTGGCCAATTTTTATTTGCACAAGGCCTTCCAGGGAACATGTAAAATAAACCGCACCCTAAAAGGCTAGTAAAATGAATAAATATTTACCGAATACCATGGGACCTAACCAATAGTTTACCCCAAGACACCTTATAAAAATGTATACAATTTAGTTTGGCAATGATATCAGGCTATAAATAAAAATTCAAATTATTTTTTTTTATATTAAAGTTGTTAGAATGACTTCCATAAATTTATGGTTAATATATTAAGTTACGATTTTGCAGATATTTATCAATCTAATCGATGATTACATGGCTTTTCTGATTAGGTAAAGCATCATGTTGGTGTTTCGTTCAGTATTCTAAACTTTGTATTAGGTCTATGTTTTTTGCGACATCCGAGTCTAGATCTTTCAGAGAATCTTAAAGTGTATTTTTCTTTTTCAGTTCACCCTTATTTCCCACTCAAAACACGCAAAGAATGATACAAATATGGAAACTGGCTGGAAACTGCTAGAAATAGGAGACTCCATACGAAAGGTACTCATCCGACTCATTTTGTAACCCAACTCCTCCGCTAATCGATGTACTGGGTGGTAATTCTAATTAGTTTTGTCATGTGGTGTAATGCTTACTAATAATAATAATGTATTTTTTCGGTATTCTAGAATATGAATGAAAAAAGGAGAAGACTTGGACGAATGTGGAGACAAAATAAAGAGGAACTCGGATCAGAAATATGTATTTGGACACACAAATATTTTGGTATCAGCTTGTCAAAACGGTGAGCCAATTTTAATCAATGCCCTAAGTATCAAATGATAAAATACCTAAAGTGAAACAACATATTATGTCGTTGTCAACTACTTCAAGTCATTACAGCCGCGCAAAAACCAGTTACTGCAACAACCTTTTAATTAGATTCAATGTTAAATCGCTGTTTTCGACATACTTGAAGTGAACAACTATTCAGGAACAAATCTCGTCGTCATGTATTATTGAGATTATGGGATTACCATTTTCTTAGAGATAACGTAATTAGCGTTGTAATTAAGGGGTTGTTTAATAACGCAATACCACAATTTCTAGAAGTCTAACTTTTGATAGAGGAGTGAAATTAACTATAATAATAAAAGGATAATTGCAGAATTTTTGATCTTGTGGATTTGGTTATATCTTGCCCAAGCGAGTGGTTTGGAAAAATGATAATATTGCTGTTATGGTACGGGAATATCTAGAGGTTGCTGTAGATAAAGTCCTCTAGTAATTTCCATCTACACTCAATCATTCAAAGGGCAAAGCTTTGTTCAATGTTTCCAGAACCACTAGATACTAATACAAAAGTTAAATTTTGAAAACATTTTTGTTTGTCATAAGGTTCTAATATCAACCTAATCAAAATATTTGGATTTTCTAATGGAAGATATTTGGACTTTCTTGTTGTCTACAGTACAAGTCAAAATAGGAGATTGCCAAAATGATTATGAATGTGAGAAGAAATAGAAATTAATACTCGTCAATGCGTAAGAGTATGTATTTGATTTTGGAAGCATGGCACATATCGTCTCAGAAAGTTACCATATAGTCCATGTCAGAACATACAATCAGCGAATTCGATTTGGTAACTTGGTATCACAGATTAGTGTTTTCTTAATTCCTTGATTGTATAATGGTTCTTGGTGTCGAATAATGATGTATTGCGTACACCGACTTTATAAATCTGTAAGAAGTGCAACAAATCACCGCTAAGCTGACGTTAATTGTCTTTATAGGTATATTCATTGCCTTCAAAAGTTCAAAAATTAGTATCAAAACAATCAAATTCTTCAAAACTTTGTCTTAATAACTTTCATATCACGTGGATATTTAGTCATAATTCATTTCTCGTTTTGTTGCCAAAAAAAAAAGTTTTATCTGCTATTAAATGTATTCTATGAACTTCTCCTTCAATTATGTTTCTTTGAATCGTACCGGAAATGGGTAAATCCGAATGGATCAACAAAAGAAAATCGTATTTAATCCGGAAAACAAAGTTTCGGATTACCTATTAACACGTGACAGGAAGCGACCGGCACCGTTCGCAATACAACGCAAAAACCGTGTGTAGTTCGTATACAAGAGGTTGTTGCGATATCGGAAACATAATATGCGCTCCGTTTTAAAGGGACTCACTTTGGGTACCTATTAATCTCGAAAAGAACATAACCGCTTGAGTGGACGACATTGGGACAGCTGGTGCGGATTCTTCTTATTTTCTCCTGTGCGACCAGATGATCATCGCCGCGCTCCTTTGAGTCAAGTAGAAATGCGATTATGAGGGGCCCTGGTTAGACACTCAGGTAGCTACTTAACAATGCCCTTTCGCGCTGTTATTCTTTCGTAGTCGTCCGCAGCGAACGTCGGCTATTGTTGCGAGAGTGCGGAGCACTCCTAGCCCTAATCCAGCGTGCTCTTTCGTATTTTTACTGTGGGATTAGTGCTGGCTCGGAACTAGCGGCGCTTTGTGCAACTTACAAATTTCTCTGATGCACCATAAATCGCGTTTATGCCGTTCAAAGGGATGCGATTTCCAAGTCCCAATTAAAACTTTCAGTTGTGGACACGTTTTAACCATTATAACAAATTCCCCAATTTAAGAATAAATAAAATTTGAGAGATTAATGGGAACAATTTTATTTAAAAATACCAATAAAAGAATTATTATTATTTTAAAAAATAACTGTAATACATACATAGAATTTTATGTGTTGCACAGGTAAACGTTATGAAGATAATAAAAATGGTTGCGTTAACATTAGTTCTGTTAAAATGAGCATGATTTCAACACGGTTGGTTAGTACAATAAAAGGTAATCCCATAACCA